ATTTCGACACACCGGCTAAGATTTTTTGACCCTTGGCGCATTTCTCGTCGTCTGAGAGATTGAAGAATACATGCTCGAATTCTGGTTCCAGTTCTTCAGAGGTACTCACAGCCATGTTTGTCTCTGGTGCATAAGTCAACATTCCAACTCTGTTTCCTTTGTTGGAAAACATGCAGAAGGGTCCCATACAGAAGAACATTGAAGGCATGTGGACGAGAGCTTCGGGCAGCTGCACCGTAGTAATTGCTTTGATTCTGTTGCATCTTTTTCTTGTGAAAGCGGAAATGCCAAGCATCTTGTTGAATTTGCCAATGTTGTACCACGAGGCGTTCACAGTTACTTCGGTGAAAATCTCTACGTTGCCACCAGCTGACAAATCTACGGCTTTTATCAAATATACGCCACAATCTTCGAGCGCTGAAATCTCAGTGACTTCAGTGTTTGCTCTAATTTCAACCATTTTCTTGTCTTGAAAGTGTTCCAGCTGACTTATGATAAATCTCCTCAACCTTGACCAATCCAATAACTCCTCCGCAGTCTCGATTCCCATTTCTATCTCATCTGTCGCGACGTCTCCTTGGTACTCCCAAGGTTCTAGAACTCGGTAAAAGTCTTCTGGACGACCAAAGACTTCGTAACTGGGGTCTTCGCTGACCATATTGGTGTACTCTTCTTTGAGTGCGTCATAAGTATCTAGAATCTCATCGAAAGGAACCAATGAACTTTTCAAGATAAAGTATCTGCCTCGACGCAGCGGATGTAACGTTTCACCTCGACCTACCTCTTGTCGGAAACGACCGTACTTTCGGGTGAACTCGAGGGTGGCGTGTAAATAGTAGAGGGCTGTCTCCTTGTCAGCGTAATGAAAACCAAGCCCCATGCGCCCCGGAGTTACATCACTGCTTTCTCTCATCAACTCTCCATTTTTCTCTAAGAGATAAATTTGGAATTGTTGTGTTCTTGCCAATGCAAGAGCGGTGCAACAGCCACCCACTCCTCCACCGATAACGACGATAGTCTGGCCTTTTGGAATGTCCATATCTCGAACTCGCAAATGGCCCTAAAAGATAAAAGACCCTTTCAGGGCGATGAACACGTTGAAACGCCAACACGTTGACTCGCCAAATTGACTCAACCTTTAAGATGAGTTCAAATGGAAAGCTTGCTGATGCGTTGCAGGGGTTCTTAGATAAACATGATCAGGACATCACAGATGGAAATTCGTGCTTGGAAAAGCTAAAGTCACGATCAGACTTTACGATCCCTTTGGATCCGGCCGAATAAACGATCGCTAGTTTGTAACGTTAACTTGCTTAAACGGAGGCCTATTTTATTACCTACCATAAAGTATAAAATGTCGAATTTGAAGCCTGCGTTTTTATGGTTGCATTGACCTAAGTTACGTAATCTCTGCCCGTGTGTTTAATTCTAACTGTATTACGAGGGAAAAGACCGTCAAAAACATCGATCACACTCATAGTTCCGGCTTCAGTCTGACCAGGCCAAATGTCGAGAAATTCCGCTGAATTCCGTGACACAAGGCTTAAATTCAACTTCAATAAAGAACATACCTTGGTGAATGAAGAAGCGTAAATGATGAGTAGAATCCGCGGGCTGTTTCTTTTTTAAAGAGCTGTGACTAGTTGATGAATCTGGATGCACAAGCACCACCTGAAAACTGGAATCACTGTAGGTTCCAAAAGTCTCCTTCCGTTCCTCACCCCTAAGATCTCAATCACATCTCTAACCTTCTTCTTTGATCTCTTGGTAACCCATAAAATACCGTTGCAAAACAGTGAGGGTGAGACAAATGCTTATTATCTATGCTTATTAGCATTTCTACTTTTGATGAATAATGACAAACTGCACGGGTCCTTGACCAAGTCGACCTCGCATATCGAATAGCTTCATACAACGACGAAGTTAACGGGTCTCTGCCGAGAGACCTGCATGAGACTTTTATGAAATGTAGATAAACTCTAAATCCTAATCTACCCATCCTGTTTATTTGATGTTTTTGTCTGTCAGTATTTTTAAATATTGGAAAAATCACCCACTTCTGTTGTCAACTCACGTTGCTTAGAGTTCTCTCTCCATTTTGGTCAAACAGGATGCTTCAAAGTTCATATACAAAACATGTCCCATGGAATTAACGCATGCGAAATATAAATTGTTTTTCTTCAAAATGGAATTTATCCTTATATTAAGTTTCTTTGACAAAGGATTGTGATTAACTCTGATTTGTATCCATGACAATCATAACAGAGGAAGACAGATACTGTGCCCAAATTAATCGTTTCTAATGACTGGGCGTACACAATAGGATTTTGCAATAGTATATTTTGTCATAAACAGCGGATACAGCTCTTCAAAGTCCATCCTACCTGACCTACGGCGCGGTGCATGATCCATGCAAATTATAACCCCCTTTCGTTCGTGACAATGTGTGCTCTTGCATCTCTTTTACATTTTTGTGCCATCGAGTCTACCCTGAGTTACTGTGTGTCTTTAAGTATTTCATTTGAGTTCCTCTTCCCTAAGATATGAGACAGATGTCTACAGGTCATTCATCTTCTCAATCGGGAAACTATTTATCAGCAACCTTTACGAATCGGTGATTTTTTGAGGGCGATGATTTTGATTGCTTATCGACATACTTTTCAATTTGGGATGAATAATGGACGACAGTTTGTTTTGAACAAAACAATAATGGCTCACGAAAACAGGGGAGGGGGATGGGGGAAGGGGGTACTTGGGAGATGCATTTTTCTTGGTATGTGCTGCAGGCCTCATAGAATTTCTACCCTAGTATAGTCTACTATGTGGCAAATTAGAGACACCATCTCACTCACTTTTCGCCATCTCAAACTAGTCACCTTTTTTAAGGCATGTACCCTATAAAGCCTTTTAGTTAAGTCGTCATTAAATTATACGCGAAAATTCTAATGCTGGCATGAAGCAAGTGAAACAAAAAGGTTATTGTGACACAACCAAAATCCATCGACCCCCAACCCTCTACCCATCATTGGTGATAAATAACAAGCGATCCCTTTTGCAAAAGAAGCATGAAGAACAGAAACAATAATAGTCGAAGTTTTGCCAGACTGTTTAATCAAGAAATAAGTGCTCTGAAAACGTCACAAATCAGGGACAAATTTTATGGGCAAGTTGTTCTTGGATAAATGTGTCCTAAGTCTTCCGACACGTGCACAGGTTAACTTATTCTACGCTTCGATCTTAATCACCAAAAAGAATTACATAAATTTGGTTTATTTTTCAGAAGTTTTTCCACGGGAAAAGGTCGAAGATTGGGGTTAAATTTTCCAAAAATGAAGTAATTGAAAGAATTCCTAGTCACACAGGAAAAGGGTTACACCCTGACAATGATTAACCCTTTAGGAACAAGTCTCTGTAAAAATCAAACATCTTGGGAAATGAAAATTTTCAACCCCCCTTCAAATTTTGCACGTAGTTAGGCGCTTAGGGGGATGCACAAAAATGCCCTTTTTAAAGGTCGCAGCACTCTTGTTGCCATGGTAACAACGACTGCTTGTTCGAGGCCTGGGGCCTCCTTTTCATACAAAAACATCGCAAAAATAGAGTGAAATGTTTATTTCTCTATCTCAAGCTAAATACAACATTACAAATGGCACTTCTTCCATACATAGTAACATCATCATTCACTGATTCACTCAATTTTTGTCGTGTAAAACAGGGAAAACGTTTCTCTGAATTTCTCCAAAAATACACCGATTCTGGAACTGAAACTACCCATCTACCTGGTTATCATATTCTAGTTTTTAAATATGTAAAAATCTCGTGTAGATCCGCCGACTTCGACATGTTTTAAATGACATACAAGTATAACAGTGTACCTTCAGAGGACTTCGGATTGCTCAAATTACCATGAAAGAAGGTGCAGCACTCTGGATTAGTGCAGTACTATCTGCATGATATGCACATGATTTGAGGTATATGTTTGTAGTTACGTCGAGTTGTCCTCCATGAAGGTTGATCAATTTTTTTAAAAGATGACAACCAGAGGCGAGATTTCTCTTCGGGTTATTGCTCATAAGATAACATTCTTTCAAAGCCTCGCACGTTTCACTTATCTGAAACGTTTGTTGTTGAGAACATTAGATGTAAACATTGCCAAATTATGCAATATCAGATTTTGAGCTTTTTCCACTAATTGCCCCTATAAAAAATAGAGGCAGGCCCGTAGAGATTTTTACATATTTAAAAACTAGAATATTATAACCAGCTACGTGGGTGGTTTCAGTTCCAGAAACGGTGTACTTTTGGAAAAATTCAGATAAACGTTTTCCCTGTTTTACCCGACAACAAAAATGATGAATAATCTATTGGTGTGTCCACATTCACTCCCAGGGAAAATTAAATGTATCAAAGTGAAGACAAATGATGTTACTATGAATGGTAGAAGTGCCAATTTGTAATGTCGTATTTAGCTTGACATAGAGAAATAAACATTTCACTCTATTTTTGCGACGTTTTTGTATGAAAAGGAGGCCTCAGGCCCCGAACAAGCAGCCGTTGTTAAAATGGCAACACGAATGCTGCGACCCTTAAAAAGGGCATTTTTGTGCATCCCCCCTGAGTGCCTAACTGCAAGAAAAATTTGAAGGGGGGTTGAACATATTATACCTTATGGTAGCTAATAAAATTTAACTCCCAGATCAAATTTGCCACTCTCCTTACTGTTAATTATACAATTCTTATGATGTAAGTTCAAAGAATTTAGTATTGGATTAACTAAATATCCCCAAATTGATATTTTTCTTTATTCTCATCACTCATCTGGCTGATATTGTATTGATATTGTAAGGAGAAATTCTGTCTTGGTCAGCCATGGGAGTTAAAGGGTTAGTGATGGCAAAGGGAGTAGTCTAGGTTACATAATTGTTTATTTACAATTCAAATACAAATGAAAGATGAAAAGGAAACAAACGAGATTATCCCTTTCAAGTTTGTCTCCTAAAATAATCAAAAACACAAAGTTACTTCCGATAGAATTCACAATAAAATAGTTCAGAAATTTCCTAAAACATCAGTAAAATGGCATCTGAGTCTGTTCTTTAAAATGTTCAGCGTTTCTGCCTACGCCACGTCTTAAGGTAGATTATTCCATTCGTTGACTATATTTACAAAGAAATAATACTTATAACTATTTAGCTGTGCAAGCAATGGTTTAAGTTTATGGCGATGGTTGGCTCTTAACGGCCGAAAATCGTGTGCAAACGTAAAATACTCAAATAGATGCGGCCCGTTAAGACTGACCAGTTCAGTCTGCGATAAATGTATTCGTGCATAAAAACATAACAGTTGTTTTTTTTTCTACGAGAAAATTAGCCAAACAGCGCGCACAAATGTCGCATATATTTTGTCCAATATTAGACGTCTCAAGCAGAGACGTCTTTGAGAGGCAGACAGCAACCGGAAGAAGAATAAAACTAATTCTGGCGCACTTTGAAGCCAATTTATCGAGGTCACGTTTTAACATTTAAAACCAACGTGTCACCCTTAATTGCTTTCAGTACCAGAATCTTCTACAGATTTCGATAAAATCAAGTCCTTTACGATCTCCGCGTTATCAAAACAATACAATAGCTTCATACATGCATTGATTATATATCCTGGCCGAGGTTCCTCCACTCCACTGTAATTTCTCTTGTAAATACCTCCAACATGTGGATCGTGCAACAAATTCAAGTTTCCGACTTTCAAACCGAAATCTATCGTATCTTCGTTCATGAATGTTTGGGTTATGCCTAGCTTTACCTTTGTCACTTTGGCTTGTTTCAATTTAGGAATGTACTTTGACACACCGGCTAAGATTTTTTTACCCTTGGCGCATTTCTCGTCGTCTGAGAGATTGAAAAATACATGCTCAAATTCTGGTTCCAGTTCTTCAGAGGTACTAACGGCAATGTTTGTCTCTGGTGCATAAGTCAACATTCCAACTCTGTTTCCTTTGTTGGAAAACATGCAGAAGGGTCCCATACAGAAGAACATTGAAGGCATGTGGACGAGAGCTTCAGGCAGCTGCACCGTAGTAATTGCTTTGATTCTGTTGCATCTTTTTCTTGTGAAAGCGGAAATACCAAGCATCTTGTTGAATTTGCCAATGTTGTACCACGAGGCGTTCACAGTCACTTCGGCGAAAATCTCTACGTTGCCACCAGCTAACAAATCTACGGCTTTTATCAAATATACGCCACAATCTTCGAGCGCTGAAATCTCAGTGACTTCAGTGTTTGTTCTAATTTCAACCATTTTCTTGTCTTGAAAGTGTTCCAGCTGACTTATGATAAATCTCCTCAACCTTGACCAATCCAAGAACTCCTCCGCAGTCTCGATTCCCATCTCTATCTCCTCCGTCGCGACGTCTCCTTGGTACTCCCAAGGTTCTAGAACTCTGTAAAAGTCTTCTGGACGACCAAAGACTTCGTAACTGGGGTCTTCGCTGACCATATTGGTGTACTCTTCTTTGAGTGCGTCATAAGTATCTAGAATCCACTTGACCGGAACCAATGAACTTTTCAAGATAAAGTATCTGCCTCGACGTAACGGATGTAACGTTTCACTTCGACCTACCTCTTGTCGGAATCGACCGTACTTTCGGGTGAACTTGAGGGTGGTGTGTAAATAGTAGAGGGCTGTCTCCTTGTCAGCGTAATGAAAACCAAGCCCCATGCGCCCCGGAGTTACATCACTGCTTTCTCTCATCAGCTCTCCATTTTTCTCCAAGAGATAAATTTGGAATTGTTGTGTTCTTGCCAATGCAAGAGCCGTGCAACAGCCACCCACCCCTCCACCGATAACGACAATAGTCTGGCCTTTTGGAATGTCCATATCTCGAACTCGCAAATGGCCCTAAAAGATAAAAGACCTTTTCAGGGCGATGAACACGTTGAATCGCCAACACGCTGACTCGCCAAATTGACTCAACCTTTAAGATGAATTCAAATGGGAAGCTTGCTGATGCGTTGCAGGGGTTCCTAGATAAACATGATTAGGACATCACAGATGGAAATTCGTGTTTGGAAAAGCTAAAGTCACGATCAGACTTTACGATCCCTTAGGATCCGGCCGGATAAACGATCGCTAGTTTGTAAAAATAACTTGCTTGAACGGCGGCCTATTTTATTAGCTACCATAAGGTATAATATGTTGAATTTGAAGCCACTGTTTTTATGGTTGCATTGACCTAAGTTACTTAATCTCTGCCCGTGTGTTTGCGTTGAATTCTAACTGTGTTATGGGAGAAAAGACCGTCAAAAAAATCAATCACACACATAGTTCCGGCTTCAGTCTGACCAGACCAAATGTTGAGAAATTCCGCTGAATTCCGTGACACAAGGCTTAAATTCAACTTCAATAAAGAACATACCTTGGTGAATGAAGAAGTGTAAATGATGAGTAGAATCCGCGGGTTCTTTCTTTTTTAACGAGCTGTGCCTAGTTGATGAATTTGGACGCAGAAGTACCACCTTAAAACTGGAATCAAACAGGATGCTTCAAAGTTCATATACAAAACATGTCCCACGGAATCAACACATGCGAAATATAAAGTGTTTTTCTTTCTTCAAAATGGAATTTATCCTTATATTAAGTTTCTTTGACAAAGGATTGTGATTAACTCTGATTTGTATCCATGACAATCATAACAGAGGAAGACAGATACTGTGCCCAAATTAATCGTTTCTAATGACTGGGCGTACACAATAGGATTTTGCAATAGTGTATTTTGCCATAAACAACGGATACAGCTCTTCAAAGTCCATCCTAACTGACCCACGGCGCGGGGTATGATCCATACAAATTATAACCCCCTTTCGTTCGTGACAATGTGTGCTCTTGCATCTCTTTTACATTTTTTGTGCCATCGAGTCTACCCTGAGTCACTGTATGTCTTTAAGTATTTCATTTGAGTTCCTCTTCCCTAAGATATGAGACAGATGTCTACAGGTCATTCATCTTCTTAATCGGGAAACTATTTATCAGCAACCTTTACGAATTCATGATTTTTTGAGGGCGATGATTTTGATTGCTTATCGACATGCTTTTCAATTTGGGATGAATAATGAATGACAGTTGAACGAAATGAACAAAAGAATATTGGCTCTCGAATACGGGGGAGGGAGGAATGTGCCGCAGGATTTATAGAATTCCTACCCCAGTATAGTCTATTATGTGGCAAATTAGAGACACCATCTTAGTCACTTTTGGGTAAATTTAATTTTCGCCATCTCAATTTAGTCACGTTTTGTTAATGCATCTACCCTATAAAGCCTTTTAGTTAGGTCGTCATTAAATTATACGCGAAAATTCTAATGCTGCCATGAAGCAAATGAAACAAAAGCCAATTTATCGGGGTCATATTTTAACATTTTAAACCAACGTGTCACCCTTAATTGCTTTCAGTGCGAGAACCTTCTGCAGATTTCGATAAAATCAGGTCCTTCACGATCTCAGCGTTATCAAAACAATACAATAGCTTCATACATGCATTGATTATATATCCAGGCCGAGGTTCCTTCACTCCACTGTAATTTCTCTTGTAAATACCCCCAACATGTGGGTCGTGCTACAAATCCAAGTTTCCGACTTTCAAACCGAAATCTATTGTATCTTCATCCATGAATGTTTGGATAATGCCAAGCTTTACCTTTGTCACTTTGGCTTGTTTCAATTTAGGAATGTATTTCGACACACCGGCTAAGATTTTTTACCCTTGGCGTATTTCTCGTTTTTGAGAGATTGAAGAATACATGCTCGAATTCTGGTTCCAGTTCTTCAGAGGTACTCACAGCCATGTTTGTCTCTGGTGCATAAGTCAACATTCCAACTCTGTTCCCTTTGTTGGAAAACATGCAGAAGGGTCCCATACAGAAGAACATTGACGGCATGTGGATGAGAGCTTCGGGCAGTTGCGCCGTGGTAATTGCTTTGATTCTGTTGCATCATTTCCTTGTTAGAGCGGAAATACCAAGCATCTTGTTGAATTTGCAAATGTTGTACCACGAGGCATTCACAGTTACCTCGGCAAAAACCTCTACGTTGCCCCTAGCTGACATATCTAAGGCTTTTATATACACCACAATCTTCAAGCGCTGAAATCTCAGTGACTTCAGTGTTTGTTCTAATTTCAACTATTTTCTTGTCTTGAAAGTGTTCCACCTGATTTATGATAAATCTCCTCAACCTTGACTAATCCAGTAACTCCTCCGCAGTCTCGATTCCCATTTCTATCTCTTCCGTCGCGACATCTTCTTCGAACTCCCAAGGTTCTAGAACTCGGTAAAAGTCTTCTGGACGACCAAAGACTTCGTAACCGGGGTGTTTGCTGACCATATTAGTGTACTCTTCTTTGAGTGCATCATAAGTATCTAGAATCTCCTTGACAGGAACCAATGAACTTTTCAAGATAAAGTATCTGCCTCGACGCAGCGGATGTAACGTTTCACTTCGACCTACCTCTTTTCGAAATCGACCGTACTTTCGGGTGAACTTGAGGGTGGCGTGTAAATAGTAGAGGGCTGTCTCCTTGTCAGCGTAATGAAAACCAAGCCCCATGCGCCCCGCAGTTGCATTCCTGCTTTCTCTTATCAACTCTCCATTTTTCTCCAAGAGATAAATTTGGAATTGTTGTGTTCTTGCCAATGCAAGAGCCGTGCAACAGCCACCCACCCCTCCACCGATAACGACATTGGTCCTGCCTTCTGGAATGTCCATATTTCGAACTCGCACAGCACTACTTAAAATGGGAAAGAACTTTTCAGGGCGATGAACACGATGAATCGCCAACAAATCGACTGGCCAAATTGACTCAACTTTTAAGATAGAATTCAAATTGGCATGCTTGCTGATGCATTGTAGGGGTTCTTAAATAAACATGATCAAGACGTCACAGATAGAAATTCGTGTTTGGAAAAGCTAAAGTCACGATGCGAGAAGCCCTTAGGACCCGGCCGGATGAACGATCGCGAGTTTGTAACGAGTTAATTTGCTTGAACTGCAGATTATTTTATCAGCTACCATAAGGTATGAAATGTTGAATTTGAAGCCTGTGTTTTTGTGGTCGCAATGACCTAAGTGATGTCTACTTCCTGCCTGTGTGTGTGTGTGTTTGCGTTGAATTCTAATTGTATAACAGGGAAAAAAAACCGTCAAAAAACATTGATCACACTCAAAGTTCCGGCTTCAGTTTAACACGGCCAAATGTCGAGAAATTCTAAATTCCGTGAGACAAAGCTTAAACTCAGCTTTAATAAAGGACATGCTTCATTGAATGAAGAAGCGTAAATGACGAGTCCGCGGGTTCGTTCTTTTTAAACAAGCTGCTGCTAGTTGATGAATTTTAACGCAACACCCTAAAACTTGAGTCTCTTTCCGTTCCTCACCCCTAAGATAGGAATCAAATCTCTGACATTTCTTCTTTGATCTATCGGTAATCCATAGAATACAGTTGCAAAACAATGAGTAGAGTGGAATAAATGCTTATCATTTATGCTTATTAGCATTTCTACTTGTGATGAATAATGACAAAAATCACGGGTCCTTGACCAAGTCAACCTAGCATATCAAATAGCTTTATACAACGACGAAGTCAGTAGTTCTCAGCCGAAAGACCTGCATGAGACTTTTATATGAAATGTAGATAAATTCTAAATTCCAATTTACCCATCCTGTTCACTTGATTTTTTGTCTGTCAGTATTTTTAAATATTGGAAACATCACCCACTTCTGTAGGCAACGTCATGTTACTGAGAGTTCTCTCTTCATTTTGGTCAAACTGGATGCTTCAAAAGCTTATAATGTATACAAAACATGTCTTACGGAATTAACACATGCAAAATATAAAGTGTTTTTCTTTCTTCAAAATGGAATTGATCCTTATACCAAGTTTCTTTGTGGCGAATCTTGAAATCCACAAAGGATTGCGATTTGTATGCATGACAATCATAACAGACAGATACTGTGAGCAAATTAATCAGCTCTGATAATTAGGCTTTCACAATAGGATTTTTCAACAGTATATTTTGCCATACACAGGGAATACAGTTCTTCAAAGTCCATCTTACTTGACCCACGGTGCGGTGCATAATCCATGCAAATTATAACCCCCTTTCGTTCGTGAAAAAGTGTGCTCTTGCATGTCTTTTACACTTTTGTGCCATCGAATCTACCCTGAGTCATTTAAGTGTTATATTTGACTTCCTCTTCCCTAAGATCTGAGACAGATCTCCATGTCATTCTCGATCGCGAAACTATTTATCAGCAACCTTTACGAATCTGTGATTTTTTGAGGGCGATGATTTTGATTGATGCTTATCGACATGTTTTTCAATTTGAGATGAATAATAATGAATGACAATTTGTTTTGAACAAAAGAATAGTGGCTCTCGAACACGGGGAGGGGGGGGGGCGGTACTTAGGTACATTTTTCTCGGTTGGCTTCTGTATCTTTAACTCGTAACTTCTTGACTTAAACTCAAATACCACCGAAATTGTAGACCTTAGCGCGGTCCATACCTGTTTACACTCGTGCGATTTTATTGCGTGATTTTGCCAACTATCATCAACTATTATGGACCGTTTGACCGTAAACATTAAAATCCATGATGGTGAATGAAAGTTGAAACTATCATAGCGGTACTATTCTTTTTCTCTAATTGGATGGAACGGGAAAAACTTGTGTCACTTTCGTTCAGGAGATTTTTCATAAATGTCAACACGAGTCCTCAAATTTGCAACCATACGCTCGGCTGGCTGAAACCGCGTATTCCATGATATGGCATGGGTTCTAGTGGGTTCAAGCAAATGGCGCAGTATAACATCTAGTGCTCTCGATGAAAAATATCAAAAGAAAAATCTCTCTGTTGATGTCATTTTTATTTCCAGCAGAAAGAGCTGTTCCATTTGATTTCTTAGATTAGAAAAAAATCTTTTTTTTTTTTGCACCTGGGAACATGTATCTAGATTTATTACAAAAATACAACTTTTCAACTGAAGTCCCTCCCCTCCCGGCTATTTACAGATCTGCCTATTAAAGTCGAACATGTATTAAACGATCACCCATGGAGAATGGTAGAGTGACCGCTTACTACAGTTTCACCGCTTAATTTAGGTCGCACAGAATAGGTATTACAAAAACTGATAAATGTCGCCTTTTTACGCCTTAATTGATCACTTTATGTGCATAAACTCGCTCAAAAATGCTGCTAACTTAACATTGATTTCGGGGACAAAAACGGATTAAATTTGCATCGAAAGATTACTTATTAGTTTTATTTATGATTCCTCTTTAAGTGATATACGTGGAGGAGGACAATGAAAAATGGCTGTTGGGACTCTGCGAAGGCTGACTGCGACCGCTTCATAGAGGTAAAAAATTACAGCAATGAGGGTAAACAATTTCGGGACTTTGAAAACGTGACCGCTTAATTAATACGATGCTGCTCTATACAGGTTCGACTGTACCCATGTACACAGACCAATCTTTAAATTTACCAGTTACATTCACTCTTTGTTAGTGAATTTATTCTCTTTCTGTTCTTTGCAAAAAAAGAACACTTTTCAAATCGAGATTGACGAGATGTATTCAACACTGATACAGAGCTTAGGGAAGTTTTGGTTTAATCTGGCCTACTAAACAAAGATAAACTAAACTCTCTCACTTTGTATACGTGCTAAAAGACCATAAAAAGCACCTCAAAAAGCAGCTCGTCATTTGCTTGAAATCCTCCTTAGGCGGGAAATATCAAAAATGGCGCCTGTCACTGAAACCAGTGGACCCCCTTGACTATGTTGAGGACGCCCCTATTGTTTTGATGTCTTAGCAGAAAGTAGAGCAATACAGCATGGCGGACTCATTTGAAGGTGTACTTTGACAGGATTTTCTCATGGTGGACGATGCGGGGACCATTTATTTGTTTGATATATTAGTGGGCCAAGATTATGGCGAGTACTAGGCGCCGTGTCAAGCTATATACATTAAATGAAGACCGGCAGTGGGATGACCGTGGTACGGGGCACGTGTCGTCGTCGTATGTTGAACGTTTACAAGGGATGTCGATCATGGTTCGATCAGAAGAAGACGGTTTGTGGCCATTTTACTGTAGTGTGCCTTTGCTAGTTTGATTCTAGTTTGATTTTTTTTATCGAGGAAGCCCGAAAACCTGTCGTAAGTTGACCCGGTTTCTTCGTTTTGCAGGTTCAATTCTACTCGAGTCAAAGATACAACCTCACACTGCCTATCAGAAGCAGCAGGTATATTTTATCGTTTTTTAAAGTAATGCCGGTTGTTCGTCAAACGAGTTGTGTAACGCTATCGTCAATTCTGCCTCGTAGGAGACGCTAATTGTGTGGTCAGAAGGCGACAACTACGATCTGGCTTTAAGTTTTCAAGAGAAAGCTGGCTGCGATGAGATTTGGGAAAAAATTTGCCAGGTGAGTTCAGCGGCCTGCTTCTTCACGTTCTCAAAAAAAAAAACAATGAGAGATCGCTGGTTATCTTTTGCTGCATTTCTTACCTCATGTTTCCCTTTCGTAAGAGACGTATTTGTTTGATGTTTAACAAATCTATCATTTACCTACAAACTCTTACGAAATCATTAATGCCTGTGAGGCTCGTCTCAGCGACCATTGTTTGTTTCAGTAGCATTCGCAGTAGTAAACTTTCCTTTTTTTGTTATTGATGTATTTTTTTCTAGATCCAAGGGAAAGATCCGTCTGTAACCATTACTCAGGATATACCAGAGGATGACGATTCGGAAGAGCGTTTTGAAGAAGTGCTCGACTCGACAGGCCCAATTGAATTACCGCCCTGTGAACTTAGTAAACTGGAGGAAATCGCCGAGCTATTTAGTAGTGTGTTGCCATCACCAATTCGCCGGGAAAAATTGGCATTGGCAATTGAGCAAGACAATTACATTAGAAAATTACTGGACTTGTTCCACATCTGCGAGGATTTGGAGAACTTGGATGGACTTCATCACTTATATGATATTTTTAAGTCATTGTTTTTCATGAACAAGCCTTCATTGCTGGAAATCATGCTTGCAGACGATCTTGTATTCGACGTTGTTGGATGTTTGGAGTACGACCCGAGCAGAGCTTCTCCTCAACGGCATCGAGTGTTTTTGAAGGAAAGCGCGAACTTCAAAGAAATTATTCCCATATCAAACCCGGATTTAATAAACAAGATTCATCAAACTTATCGTGTACAGTACATTTACGATGCTATCCTCCCCCCGCCGTCGATTTTTGAGGACAATATGCTGGCTTCTGTGAATTCGTTCATACTTTTTAACAGAATAGAAATAGTAACTCATCTTCAGGTAAGATTTACAGCTTTTTTTTTTCGGAAGTATTTCTGGTAGAAGGTAATGTTGCTAAGGGAAAAGAAAATCGATGACGTAGTTTCGTCTCTGTTTGAAATACAAGACGATCAACTTTTGTCTCAAGTAAAGATAGATTTTACATTTGTCCGGTGCGCTATGATAGCAGCCTAAAGATGAAAAAGGCAGACTGCCGAAGTAATTGCCCTTGCGGAACACTAGTGTTTTTAAAAGGAAATTTAAATATTTGATGGGATTTTAAAGTTAGCCCTCTAAGTTGGGTTAGCTATGATTTTTGAAGGTTTCCATATTATTAATTTTATTTGCGTCACGTTGTTCTTTGTTGATTTTAGTTTTTTTTTTTTTTTTTTTTAGTTTTTTTCTCTTTGTCTGGTGGTAAGCTATCAGATTTGATTTCTCTTTTGCCCATTTCGTAGTTTATTAGGACAGTTTTTGGTATGTTGTACAGTAATGAATGCAGGATAGTAGGAGGTTGTTTCACTGCGCACAAAAACTCTTTGGTACAGGTGTTTTATAGAGAGTTTTTGACGTTTCCTTTGTATGGATACTAAACATGTTGTTTGTCTTACTGCATGTTTCAAATTAACATTTGGATCTCACTTTGGCACCCATGACACTAATACATTTTAACAAGGTGAAATAACAGAGTGAGAAACAAAATACAAGGATTGATAACAGTTTATTTTAATGAGATTTTGCAACATTGAAATCACAGCAATTTGACTTGTTGAAAATGTTTTTCAGTTATTATGAGATCTTTTCTTGCAATGGATGGGGTTGTTTAAGCTTGATTTTGTTTTGTTTATTTTTGTCCTTTTTGATATCAGAAGTTCAAAATTTTGTCTTGGACAATCAGAAAGCCCTCGGAACATGTTCATCAAAGATCTCTCTGAAAATGGACAGTGTTTTGATTAAGTGTTTGTCAGTTTTATGTTGAAGTCATTTGCCATAAAGGAACAATCATACATGGTATTTTTTACTCGTGAATGACTAGAACTCGAGATGACTGACAATCAATAAGGCTTTGTTTGTATTTTAAGTCCTTTCCTTTCAATATTGTCTGGCAAGAATTAACACTTTCCACCTCTCAGAACATATATTTTAGGAATGTGCGTGCTAATGATGTCTTTTACTGTGGCTGGAAATTTCTTTTTCCTGAGACTAGACATTCATTTGTTCTCAAAATATGTAAAAGCAGCTTTTATGTGAACATGACTTTGGTAAGGCATTGATAGGCTTCCGACAAAATCTGAAAAGGCCATAGAACAAGGGCGAGTTCTCACGCCATGTTTTTTTGCGATCAGAAAGGTTTAAATCTGAAGTATGGAGACAGGGCTTTTTGTAGGGTATAGGTTTAATTAAAGAAATTGGGTGGATTTTGTGAGACTGCACAACATTTCTGAAATATGTTTTCTCTGCAATAGATGTTATTTAGTGATTGTCAGAAAAAGCAAATACCTCGAAAATTGCCTTGACTGTGTGACAAACTTTTGAGTGTGTTATGTTTGTGTACATGACTTGTCCTTGTGGTTAGAATGGCATAGCAGGTCAGAGAATAGCTTTTTTTTATTCTAAACACCACTCACTAGCTGTGCAACCAAAGGAAATCTGTGAAAGGTGTTTCTGAGAAAGAGATATCCTCAAGGTAATCAAAAACGTCCTGAGTATAATTATCAGTTATGAACAGAAACATTTTTTGTTATTTATTATTTTTGTATTAAGTATATTGGGGTAAAAGAGCATTTCTAGTTGACAAAGAGGACAACATTGCTAAGGAATAGGTTCATGTTGGTTGACTCTGAAATTATCTTTGGCAGGAGGATGATAAATTTTTAGCGGATATGTTCTTACAACTCACTGATGAGGATACACTGGAAGACAGAAGAAAACAACTTGTATGTGGCATTTTTGTTGTTTGATTGTAATATGTTAGAGTGTTGTTATCGCAGACTACTCCATTATATCTTTAAAGATTTCTGTGACTCCTTTCAAAACGTAGGCTTTGATGTGGTAGTAGTTTATCATTTTTAAGTTCAAATGCTATCCTGCATCTTCCATGATGATGGTAACATGAATAACTATTGCAAAACACCATTGACGGACACAATTCATGTTTTAACCCCTTAACTCCCAAGATCTGATTGTTAATTCTCCCCTCTAGCTGCTGCTCATTTCCTTGTAGAGTAAATAAGGGAATTTGGTGTTAGATCAAGACAGCAAAATCTACCTGATAAGTTTGATTATCCTCCTCTATTTGCTGGATTTTGTATGGTTATTTTAAGGAGAAGTTACACATTAATCACTCCTGGAAGCTGAAGGGTTTTAAATCAAGAATTAGTTTGTTTACTCTGAATATTTGTCAGCAGTTATTTTTCAATCTTTCCTTTCTGCAGATAAATTTCTTGAAAGAATTAGTCAGCTTCTCCTTACACTTACAAATTCACCAGAAGGATGAATTTTTTAAGGTATGTTTGCTGTATTGATAGGAAAAGTATTTACATGTGGTTGTGTTTTGAAAGTGCTTGAATCTACCAGCATTTATGTTACACTTATCCAAGGTTACTTAGGAAGTGGACTTAGTTTAAGCAAGCCACAAATCTTAGTAAATGAACTCTGTTGTATACAATAGTTGAATGTACATTTGTACCTCAATTATCTGGACTTCTGGGCTAAATAATTAGCACAATAAAACTGGGCTAAATAATCTTGATAATCAAAAGTCCATATAATGAGAAATATAGATACCAATGAGCTTTGTTTGGTGGAAAAAAGATTGCACATGCTACCTATTAATATTCATTAAAAATGGGACTAGATGAGCAAGTCTTGATGATTGAAAAATGCGGATTTACGAAGTCCAGATAATAGAGGTTTGACTGAAGTAATGTTCAGTCAAATGTTAACTTGAAAAAACTCAAGCCAGTCTTCATGTTGATATGCAAGAATACCTTTTGCTCAGTTCAGTTATTTTTTTGCTTCTTTTTTTTAATTTTTTTTATTTTTTGGTCCTTGTAACGTAGTCAGAGTGGAAAATGAGGAAACTTGTCATTTGCTTCATAAAAATCTGAAGTAATTGTTGCAGTTATGAGCAGCTTTCTAGGAAATGTACTTGTTTGCATTATATCACACGGAGTATTTGATCATTCTTGTCCCTAGTACAGGGGAAATAAATGAATGTTCACATCTGAAAATGGGATTGATTATGAGATCTGGTTCTCTTCATAGTATCAGTTTTATTATATTTTCTGATGTGGTAAAATTTACTGAATCTCTGCTTTTTCTTAAATGAAACCACTGTGTTTGCCATGTGATGGTTTCTTATATTTTATAATTTGTATTGTGATCCTTACAGGCTCTTGTACACCATGGTTTGTTACCTGCCATGGAAATGCTTCTGGTAAGTGTATGTAGTAATTCTAAGCTCTTGATTTTTTTTGTGTTTCCTTGCTAGGATTTAAAAAAAAACCAATCTGTTTGTCCATTCTTCTCTCTGTTTGTATTCAGACCAGCTGATCATTCACAAATTGAAGAAAAGATGAAAAATATTTAGTCTTTTTTTCATCAACACAGCTTAACCCATTGAGCCCCACACCTTAGAGCTCAGACCACCCCCTGAAATTCCAGAGAAAATGGCTGCTACAGTGAACACACAGACCACTGCCAAAATAATTTAAAATTTTAATGTCTTCATTTCACTCTACTGAAGGGAAACTGCACAAAGTTGCATATTAAATAATATACTTTCCCCCTGTCAAATTTTATTTTCAACTTGAGCATCAGGGTCTCTCCAAAAAAAATTCTAAAGCTAGAGAACGGATTCAACTTCATGATGTACAGCGAGTCATTAGCAAGGTTGCCTTCAGCTTTGAAAGTATTTATCAGTATGATGACTCTCTTTTGCACTCTTATTCCATCAGAATCATGTAAAAAGCTTTCCCTCAAATACAACACCAAAAGACAGATCGCAAATTTCTCCTCAACAAAAGGAATCCTAAACTTTCTAACGCGGGTCAATTTTGAATTTGCCCGCCATAGCGACATCGCGACACGTCACAAGGCGCAGCTGTAAAATTACTTTTTGCGAGTCATGAGCAAGAACAAACCAATTTTTACGCCTAAATGAAAAGTTTCACTTTGAACAATGCATATATGTTCTTCGCTTAGGCAAACTTTTGCTCCAAGCGAGTTACAAGGGGGCAAACTTTGCAGAGGAGATCGTTTTGGGCTTCTGCGGTCGGGTCAGCAAGATGTAAATATTTCCCCAGAGTCATGAAGCGGTGCTCTGGGATCGTTTTTTTTAAGCAATCAACTCCAACAAACTCGTCAGAATCCCAGTACATTGCCAGCTGAGGAAGTTCATGGATTCCAATGAGAATGTTTAGCCCGAAATACGCTGAAATTTCCGCTTGAGTAGATGTGAACGATCGATCCCCTTTCGAACGAGCGTACGCAACGGTGTATCGGACGATTTCGTCAATGTAAGCATCGTCGATAAATACATTGAAGAAATCTTTGGCAGTTGCATTTTCTCCGAGATCTCTGGTCGGGCCACGACGAATGGAGAATTCCTCAACATTAATTTGTCGCAATTAGCTAGACCATTGAAGAGCATTTGGTCGGCTTTCTTCTGCGGCAGATTCTTCATCACTACTTTCGTCGCTTCCTTCTTCCTCCTCACTAGCGTATAGCTCAACATCGGAATCGCTTCCCCTTTCTTGCGACCGTAGGTCGAAAAAGTCTTCCATCTCGTCATCCACATTGCGAAGCAAGTTTTGTTCATGCTGTGCTTGACGAGCTTGTCGCTTTTTTCAATTTCTTCGATGATAAAACCAGCGAAGACTTCTTGCTCTTCATCGGATGAAAATTAACTTTCATCAATTCTTCCAGAAGCTATGTCTTAGACCACGACATATTTTTGAAAAATTTGTCAAAAATCGCACGGTTAACGTGGAATAGTGAGTTTGGTCTCAAACGAAAGCTTATTTTTTGCATGTCACGTTTCACTACTTTTCAATACCCAGGGGAGTTTTGTTTCTAAGCTACAGCCAATCAAAACAAGCCATTTCTGACAGGGCGCATGAGGGCGCATTGGAATTTCAGAGGGGTTTTATTTCTGGGCGCATGAGGGCGCATCGGATGTCAATGGGTTAAGAAGAAAAATGAATAGCATGCATCTCTTTAGTAACAGCCTAATTGAATTATTTACTTGTATGTGTGACTATCAACTTTGTTGTTGTAGGTCAGTGACTGCGAAGAGAACAGGCTCTCAGCTGTGGAGATGTTTTCACAAGTTGTTGACATCAGCCCCTATCTTGTAAGGGATTTCATCATGAAGGAGGGACAGACACAGGAAGAGGTAATTCATTCTATTAATTGAACTCAGGTGAGGGTGGAGTAGTCCTTGCAGGCTACTCTCTAAGCTTGGTGGGTTCTAGACCCATTCACTTGCAAAATTAGTATTTATCAGCAATTGAGGGATAAGAGTGTGTTGTGGTCGGGAATTATACTAGTGGCAAACAACATCACACAACCGCAAAGCTAATCAACTAATCATGACAAAGATTACTGATAAGATTGAATGAAACAGAGTCCTTTTTACAAGTAATCACAATGATGACAAAATTTGGAAACAACATACACATCATTTTAACACACATAAATCAAAATATAAAATGAGACTTTTTTTACAAGAGAAATTGAACCCAAACAGGGTTCCAGGCTGATTTTTATATGAGAGTTGGGGAATGACCAAAGAGAAAGACAGGAGATACAGTTTGTACATTTGATAATTCAACCTAAGGTATATATGTATACTATCCTTCTAGTACTTAACCCTTTCACTCCCAAGATCTCATCAGATATTCTCCTTACTATCTGCCATACAATTCTAATAATGTTAGTTTGGAGAATTTGTTATTGGATCAACTGAAAATCTCCCAATCACTATTCTTCTTTATTCTCATCACTAGTCTTCTTTGTATTGCATTGACACTTTAAGGAGAAATTCTCTTAGTCACTCATCGGAGTTAAAGGGTTAAATTGTGTTGCTAATAACCAATCACATTGGGGAATTTTGTTATAGTTTTGATTAATACCAAAGTTTGTGGATAATGAAAAATATCTTATGCATCATTTACATATGTTCTTGGTCATTTCTCTTCACTTGCAGGACATGCTCATCAACCACATTATTGACTTCATGATATGTGACGGTGATACAGGTTAGTTTATCAAGTACAATTTTGAACTTGTGAATAGGTATTTCTGCTGAACCTCTTTTTATTTCATGAATCACTCTCTTAAGTTTTGTGGTGTTAATATTCTTGTATTTCTTACCTCAGGAAATGCCTTTCAACTTTCTCAGCTGATAAGAACTTTGCTGGATCCAGAAAACATGGCATTAGGAGCAAATGTAAGATAATGGTGTTTTGGTTAACATGAGAAATAATTTTCCTTTTTACTGTGGTACTGAAAGTGTTACACTCAAGACAAATCAGTGACTTCTTGTCCAGAGCTGTGATGCAGTGAGTCACAGAATGTAATAATTATTTCGTTAATTTTTCCTCAGTGTAATTAAGGGTTTTGTGTTTTTATCCTCTGTAATGTGTCTTTGTTTCATTTACATAGAAAATGGAGAAGTCTGAATTCTTGAGTTTTTTCTACAAACATTCCATGCATGTGATGACAGCACCTCTCTTTGCTGCAACCAGTGATGACAAGCCAAGCAAAGGTAGACCATAACGTCACAACATAAGCTTTTGAGATATTATTTTATAATTTGATAATATTGATTCCTAAGAGAACAATTGATTGAACTCTATTTAACAGTTTCATTGTGCTAATTAAAGTGTATCAAATTAAAGTGGATTTGTCATTATTAATAATTGATCCATCAATCAATCTTCTTTAAATCAATTAGTCAGCTAGTCTGTCAGTCAGTCATACAGTTTGTCAGCTTTTCAGTATGTCAATAGCAGTCAATAAACTCATTATTCATTCAATGAATTAACCCTGTGACCCCCTGAGAGCAACTTGCAATTACTTACAATATCACCCCTTAATCGTACATCAATGTCATGAGAGTAAAGGAAATGATCACCAAATAAAGGAAGTCTTGATTGTTCGATAAATTCTCCTCTTCACAGGGCGTGAAATTAATTTTTTTTCTGATAGCCACTTGGCTCCTAAATTCTTCAAAGTGGTAGCCAATTCAAAAAAAGTTGGTCGCCATTTTCAAAGACAAACAAAACCTTTTTTTACGCTGTCAGAGTTCTAGATTGACCCTCAAAAATTAAGTTAGGGAAAAGATCTTTAAGGAGCTATGAAGTGGACACTAGGATGGTTGATATACAACGTTTAAGCTCAACTAAATCCAAGATGGCGTCTAGTTATCGATAGGGATGCATGTGCTGCGTTTTGGAAACAAACTTAACGACAAAGTTTAATTCACTATATCTCTTGGAAAGGTTATGATAAAACATTCTAGTCGCCAATTTGGCGACTAATTTTCAGGATTTGGTCGCCAAAGTGAAAAATTTAGTCGCATTGGCGCCTGTATTAGGCGCAATTTCACGCCCTGCTTCAGCAACTTAGGAAATGTATAGAAAATAGTACAGAGAATATGCATATTGATTTTAGGGAGTTGAAGGTTAATTAGTTTGATAACTGAGCTCTGTGGTACGTTGTTTTGTATATTTTTAATCTCTGTTTATACTCTGATGTTTTTGGCCTCTTTTTGATGTTGCAGATGATTATGTCAACAGCGTGACACTTGGACACATTTTAGAACTGCTGACATTCTGTGTTGAACACCATACTTACCACATAAAAAACTACATCATTAGTAAAGACCTCCTAAGAAGAGTGTTGGTGCTAATGAAATCGCAACACAAGTTTCTAGTTTTAAGTGAGTGATACATCTTCAAAAGATATAAATATTGTAGTTGTTTAATTTCTGAAGAAGCAACTGTTGATTAATAATTTAGTCTATTCATACAACTGTCTGGAATATTTTATTTCAGATTCACTACGCTTTATGAGAAGAATAGTTGGTTTAAAAGATGAATTCTACAACCGTTACATCATCAAGGGACAGTTGTTTGATCCAGTTGTTACAGCATTCAAAAACAATGGACAGAGATACAATCTTCTTAATTCTGCCATCGTAGAGCTCTTTGAATTTATCAGAGTGGTAAGTAAGCTGTGCCCGGTGAAGCTTTCTTCTTCCACACCCCTCTTCCAGCTGCTTTCTCTTCCCCCCCCCGTCTCCTCCCTTCCATATCCCATCAGCAATGTTAAAAAGCTTTCACAAAGGCAAAGTTAAACTTTTTATTCCCAGGAAAGACCAAGACACGGTTGTTCCTTGCAATATCAAGCAGCAAAGTGACGAGAATTTAAAAAAAAATATTAACTAGCACAACTCTGCACTATGGAACACTTAAATTACAGGTATTACAGTAGTAAATTACAGCTTTTTCTTTTTATTTCATGCTACAGGAAGATATAAAGAGCCTCTGCTCACATGTTTGTTCCAAATACACGCCGTTTTTTAAAGAGGTTACATACGTAAGCACATTCAAAGGGATTCTGCAAAGAGATGAACAGGAGCTGGATAGAAAACAGAACAGGATGCTTGAGAGGTAAACTTCGTTGGATAAATTAACTCGATCATTTAAACATAATGTAGTATGTGTGCATTTCTCAAGTTCAATTTCCACTCTAATCGATTAAATGCCAATGACCCTAAAAGTCCTCACCTTTTCCGCTGCGTCAGTGGGGTGGGGGTGCTGCATCAGCGGGGGGGGGGGGTCTGTCTTGAAATTGATCTCTAAAATTACCTGGCTGTTTACGCTGAAAGTTTCTTTTCTTGGATTTCAGTAGGGGTCCCTTGAATCACGGCACTATCCATGTGAACAGCCGGTTTAGACGAGATGTGCGGGCCCTCGATGAGGACGAAGAACTATGGTTCGACCAGGAAGATGAAAATGGAGAGGAAAATGTCACGCTTGATCAAAGTGACCTTCTTAACGAGGACTCGTCTTTTAAAAATCGAAAAACATTCGTCAACGAAAAGGCACCTCCCTCAATCGTCAATAACAAGCGGGTGAGTGCATCTTTAGTTATGATGAAAAACAATAGTAAGTAAAAAAATTAGTTAAAGACAGTGTCGCTGAAAAGGCGAAAACCCTATCCTAATTGATCAGTTTTTCTTTTAATAGCTACCCTTTGAGAAAACTTTTACGCATCAAGAGCGCCATATTCATGGCGCAGGAAAAGCTGCTTTGGAAAAACTGAGCAGCCTTTGCTTCCTCCCAAATTTATTTCCTTTTTTATTTCCTCCACAGCCATTAGTTGGACTTGTTGACTATCCTGATGATGAGGAGGAAGAAGAGGAAGAAAGTGAAACGACGAGCCCTGCGAAAAGAGCGCGGCTAAATGCCTCCTAGCACCTGCCTTTAAGCCTCGTGTGTGTTGCCTGCTGCCCAGGGAAATAGGAGAGATGTACACGTATGCGTGCATGACAGCACCGCGTGACTCCGTGACATGCCAAGAGCGTGACAATAGATCGAGTGAAATAGAGTCAAAAGACGTTTTCTTGCTTAATGGACAGGTTGATCCTTGTTAAGTTACTCTTTCTGCTGGAGATTTCAGCTCTGTGTATCTATCATTACGTTGTTTATCTTATGTTTATTTTAGTATCTCTCTTGTTTCAACCAAAATGATTCTTATTAGCGGTCCTATGTTAAGTCAGAACTAAATTTTGTAGTGTTTTAGATTTAGATAAGATATTTTCATTGTATCGCAGTCCTCCGATATCTGTATCCCTTTAGAAAGTATCTTAAAGTTATTCTAACAGCTTAGTGTTCTGCCCGATCAGACGATTCTAGATGTTTATTTTATGATAAGTGTGATAATTTCCTAGCATCCTTTGCACCCGTTGTTTGGCCGTGTCACGCAACGCTGTTTTTCAGTCGATATGAGGAAAGGTTCGTTGCGTAACAAGACCAAACAGCGGTTGTACAGGAGACTCTTTTTTTATCCAAATGCATTGACGAGGCTGGCCTCCAAATAATTATCAAGTGTTATCATAGCAAGAACCTCTGAAATTCCAGAGTAGTTCATAAGGAAAGTGTCATTTTACAACTGTGAAACAGTCATTGCTTGTCTTTCTTGATCATCATGATCTGTATGCAATGAAGTACGTTACTTTACTGTTGCGTGACGTTAAGGAAAAAAGTGCGTACTGGAAAGTTTTTCTGTCATCAAAAGATTCTTCACTTAAAGACGGCTTTGGAAACGGGAAGCATGGATCAACCTGTCCAAAGACACAACTTTCCTGCATTTTTACCGAGATTAATTTATTCCTTGTATTCTTAAATTACTACATCACTGTAAGTCTGTCGTGTATTGTTTTTTAACAACGTGAACAAGCGTCCAGTTTTAGCTCAGAGTTTGTGTACAGACACTTTTTTGTACAGTGTACATGAAATCCAAAAAACTTATCGTAGTAAAAGAGAATTATAATAATAAACTGTAAAAAGTGACTTTCATTCCAGTCGTCACGCCACATTTCCAGAAGAGATTGGGTTTGTCATACAACGTTCCGGAGAAGTGTAGCGTTACGATTGGAAAGACTCACTGAGAAGCCTATAGTAACGTTTGGATGAGGGTAGAAATTTTATTTTCTAAGATCAGGTCAGAGTGCGTGGAGTTTTATTCTTCTTTTTTTTTTTAACAATAACAGTGTCTCGAAGAATGTTTTAACTGCATTTAACGCGTTTGATACTGTTTGGTTCATGGGCTTAAGTTCATCGTTAACCTTGTCACTGTTTTAGTTTAATCCGAAGGCATGGTTGGGCCAGAAGCGGAGAATGTTTGATCCGTCGTGGACCAAGAGAACTGAACAAAAGCTTATATTCATTTCTTTCATTTTTGTTCACTAATCCTCGTTGTTAAGCAGAATTTAAGATAGTAAAATGAGCCTATTGAAAGACTTTATGGTTGAAACACTACATTCTCGTCCCTTCAGTACAGTGCAGGTGGTAGAAAACGGAAATATCCCACAAGGATTGTGGAAGTTTATGCAACTTGAATTATTTCGGATAAAGAATGACACATGTTATTGTGTTTGTGATGAGGCCGAGCCCGTGATGCTAGATATCACAAGCTTGTTTTTCAGAATGATTTCCACCATTCGTAATCGAAAGAACCTCGCCCATGCCAAGGCCCCCCTTTCTTTTGTACCAATGTGAAAGAGTTGAACTTAATACGGTAGAGTTATCGCTGTTGAACCACGTTCGGCTTACGTGTGACAGCAGAAGTCCGATTTTAATGACTAAGTTGATTGTCAATCGTTTACATAACTGATGTAGTCCTTCCTATAGTTTTTGTCTGGTATTCCCATTTTGATTGAAAACCCAACGTTTATTCTTATTTTAACCAAGCTGTCTAGCAAACTCAAAGAATTCTCGCGTTTCGACTGTATTTGTAAATGTTACGATTTTGTTTTCATTCTCCTTTTACAAAAGTCTATACGTCAACTACTGTAGCGACTGTACCATCATTTACTGTGGGTAATTGGGCTGTGTGAAATGACCTGGAATTAAAATAAAATCCTTAATTTGCACATTTTTTTGTAAGAATCGGGTTCTCTTATTCGAGTGAAGGAATAATTATATTTTTCACGGCTATAGACAGAACGTATTGCAACTGAAGTGGATAACGTAGATGGTTACGTGCATTAAACTGACCTCTTGTCATAGTAATGTATTCATATCCCGCCTAGTAGTCATGAATGATAAACTTAGTACTAAAAAAAAATTATGCAATGAACATTATTAGGATTTTCGCGTTTTGGCACATACCTAAGATTTGTATATTATTACCAAAAAATACTTCTTAATGAGAGGGGAGGAGGTCATGAGCAACCTAGCCCCTCCCCCCCCTGCAACATTGCTATGGCTCACAGCTTTAGCAAGGCTTCCAGATCAGAAGGATACTCTTTCCAAGAGGCTAAATAATGTAGACGAATATCATTTTTAAGACTTCTGACCAATACAAACATACCCTGTTGGGCAGCACACCACGCACATGCACCAGAAGTAACCTCAAAATGTATCTCATCTTGTCTTCCGCTTAAGTTTTGTAATTCAGACAGATTGTCCAACCGGAAATGTGGTATTTGACACAGACGGGTTTATCTTGGATGAGAATAGTGTATTTGGCGCCAAAGTGTGCTTATAGGAAACTAATAACAAATGGTAATTGTAAAGCTGTGATCTGTAACAACTCTCCGGCTGTCTCTCTCGCTTTGATGGAGGTGAATATCGATAATATTGTGTCACTAGTTTTTCCTGTCGAAAGAGATCGCATATGCTCCGGGTTCCCTCAGCGGTAGGATGTCTTCAGAAGAGAATTTAAACTGTTTGTAATCTCTTATTCAGAGGCTATGACTATGGAGAAGAAAACGGCAGAATTTTCAAAAATCATGCGAACAAATTTCATCCAGAAAAAAGACTCAGTAAACAAAATTTTAGACATAACACAATCACTCACACAAATCACCTTACTCCTAATATTCCCTCCCCTTAGAGATTAAAAAGGATTCCTTTTGGTCTTCTTAATCGCTTCGTTTTAATATGCCGTGCCTTTTAAGAGGATCTTTTCTTCTCTACATTTACCTTTTTATACTCAATTACGAACTTTCAGGATACGTTCATAATATCTAGTGGGGAGGGGCGCCTTTGAAATATAGTGAAGCATCTTGCGGAGCGACTCGAGCCAGATCTTAAGCCAGTTATTGCGTTTTGAATCATCAGTGAGTCCACATCCTGAAGTCCATCGGGGAAATGAGCTTTTGTCGTCCAAACTAGCAAACAAACCTATCGCGTTGTTTTATTATTTCCTTCCGATGCCGGCCCGTTCATCAAAGAACACAATATGGGGTGGATTATTTTTTGAAAGATGATATTTCAGAACCACTTTTTTCCCTTGTGAACGTAGTCAGTGAGAAAAGAAAAAAAGGCCGAAAAGAGGGATTCAGATGGCGTAAAAGACTCGCAAAATCGCCACTTAGAATTGCCAGTAGTGTAATTACAAAGTACTTCCGGACTTTTTAAGGCTGTCCATAAGAAAGTGTGAAAACAGAATGAAATTTGAGCAAAAAATTTACCCACCCTCTTCAAATAACCGCTTCCCTTCAAACTGACACCCACCCGCTTTTCAACTCATCAAATTAGTTTGTTGCACAGCGATTTAAATGATATCTCAGAGGTCAGGGGCAATCCTCATATACACCTGACACTAAAAGCTTAATATTATTTTAGAATTTGTGGGATATGTATTTTAGCTGACCCCACTGAAGCGGAAATGACTTTAAAACCTTATCGAGTGCTGTTTTAAGAATGGCTTACCTTATCAAAATATTATTTCTAAGAATCTGTATTTTGCACTGATTGATTAGACCTTATAAAGCTTGTCAATCTTCCGCGCTTAATACCTTTCCCCTAAATAGATTTTTAGAGTTCTCTTCCTTTCAAATGAGTGAATAACTCGCTCTGTAAACCTAGGTTTAAGATCAAACTTTAATAGCTTGCGGTTTAACGTGGCTTTTTGGTTTGTCTGTCCGTAAAGTGTTGAGAGAAGAAACATTATTCTAAGCCTCTCGCGGCTTCGCCGCTCATCGCTTTAGCGTACACAAGACCCGCCAGGTACGCATGCTATATCAAACCAGAAGCTTACGACCTAAGCTTGTGATCACCGTGTATCTTTTTTTTTGTGCGTGTTTCGAGTTTCGTGCAATGGCGAAACTGAATTAGGGTATATGGTTGGACTTTGATCCCATTCTTTCCTCTACAGCGTGAAACATCACGGTGGAAAATTGCACAAGAAGTGTCTGGAGTTTCACTAATCGGCTTATTAGCAGCTTGAACCTAGGACCATAACTGATCGATAGAGAGAGAGAGAGAACTCCCAGGACGCTGGTTCTCATTCTGTGACTCAAGAGTCTGTGATCGTCATTTCTCTTAATGAGATCTAATAGCGATTCATAGAAATGTCTTTCATTTTTTTTTCTCGCTCTCTGTCGGAAATCGCGACATACTGTCTGTACAGACCTCACTTATCAACTTTTAAGTTCAGCCTGGTCCGTAAGCCCTTTGTTTTCTTATCGATTAACAAATTTGCTGATTTTGAAAGCCGTATCGAGTTTTAATCTTGTACAATAGAACATTGATACAGAAACCCTTTCCAGTCTGCGGTTTGTCTAGAGACGAAAGGATGACCCTCTCTGACTTTCACGAATTTCGGACAAAGCTAATTAACGTAAATTGAACGGTTTTTTTTTTTTTAAATAGATGGTTCTCAACTATCCCGAATACTTCTCAACGAACAATGCAAGACCTCGGGCTATTTCTCCCAAAAAGAAGCTTGTCACGAGATTTTGGCCCGACAGGATTCCGCTCGGTTTCGTCAGGCTAAGATATGAATAAGCAGCGAGGTTTACATTGTAAATAATCACGAAACCACATATGATCTGAACCAAATATTATCGATCGTTGTTTGTATTTGTAAATGTGAAGGAAGTGCTTTTTCATTATTCAATAACTCTTTCATCATAACTCTTTCACCATAGTGCGTTGGGGCATGTCCAGGCCTCAGCAACACTAACCAAGGCGCTTTGATTTTGAACTTGTTTGAAATATCTCGTTTATTTTCATAGTAAAATTGGTAACGTAATTTTTTCACCACAACTAATTTCGTTTCGCTTAATTTTTAAACAATTTTAACATTTCCTTACTTATGCATTTTCATCAAACAGAAATACTTGAAGCGTTTTCGTTTGTGAGGCTATTGTTCAATCATTCTAACACTCGAAAACAGCGAATGAGCAACATTATTGGAAGATTTCGGAAACCTCCTTTTTCAACTTTCAGCACACTCTTTTTTTTAATAAGAAATTTTTTTTATAGGAGCGTTCTGGCTGAGATAAACGAAATTTTAAGGAACATAGTAAGAACCTAGCCAAGCTGAGAGTCAGTTAAGAACGACTATTTTGTCTATTTTTTTGTTTTTGTTTTTTGTGAGAAGCATAAACAAACGTAGAAGAAATATAAAACTATGATCTACCAGGACAATTGATTCAAATACTTAAAATACTTAGGGACGCTTTTGGCATTGATTTATTGAAATACTAAACCACACACCTTTAAGAACATATCAGAACGTTCCAATGTCAAATCGCAATAAAAGATTAATGAGACGTTCAGCCTCAGACCCAAAATAGGACATTCTTATAAAAAAATAATAATAATAATAAAATCAGATAAGAGTGTAGTAGACATGCAGCTTTTTCAGACCATGCGTTTTGGAAATATCTTATTTTTGGGAGCATTTTGGAATACTGTATGTCATGATTTTTTTTTCCTGACAAGTCTATTGTCAGGCTTCTGCTCTTCACTCCAAGGATTTCTTTGTCATAAATAATTCGCGCGGAAAGACAACATCACAGACCCCGAATTACACAGGATAATAAAAAAGAAATAACAAAAACAAAAAAGAAACAAATAAAAACAAACAAAACGGAAAGAGGCAAACACAATTCAAAACGAAACGGAGTTTGTCTATACCATTCCGCACTTCTAATCCATTGATCCACTCCATTTCAATGGGTAGCTTTCTAATGAAAAAAGGTCACCTAAAGGTCGTAATACACAAGATGATCCAGGGATTAATTTTCCTCTAAGTATGCACTGCAGTCAGTAAATATTTTTTGAACTCGAAGCTCGTGTTGCTAGGATATTAAAGGCCGGAAATAGGATTGCCTCACGACTTCGGAATGCGTTGACCTTTTCAAAGTTCTAGATAAGCCAAACAAAAGCTGCCGTGACGACGTGGAAATTAAGAACGTCCCAATATTATTTTGTTTGCAGCGAGAAATTTGCTTGTACACGAGAATAATATTTGAATACCAATTGATTACAACTGTCAATCACGTTCTTACAGTAACGCAAAATGGCGTTGCGCACAATCAGCTCGAAATTACCCCAAGTAGGGGTCCCTGGGGGGAACCGACTCAATCTTTTTTTCACGAATAGGAAGTGGTCATCGACTGAAAAAGAGGGGCTCTCAGGAAAAGGAAATAGAAATTATGGGCCGTATCTAAAACAAGAGATTATCTTTTGCCACGGTGGTTTAGAGTTTGAGAGCTTGCAAAAATTGTGTGCAAATTTTCAATACAGACTCGGCTAATGAACACTACCCCGGAGGGTAGAAAAGTGTAAATTGCCATATTTAGTCACTGGCGCGCTAACATAAAATTGGTCGTTTTGTTAAAGAAAAGCAAAATTCCTCTTAGTTGAACGTCCGGGACGCATTTCCGAGGCGATGAAAGAGTTTATTACAGTGTTACGTTTCTACTGATTTCTTCCGAAGGTATATTTTTCGACCTGCCATGCGATACTCTGATCGCTCGGGTTGTGTGAACATCTGAATGTGGTGAATACGATCGACCGGTGGTTTAAGGTTCACCGTTACTGTGAATTTCTTTGGGTAGTATTTGCGGTTTTGCGATCGTGTAAAACCATGGCCACTGCAGAGGGATTTCTTCAAAGCCCACTGGTTGTTTGGGTGAGAAGGATTTTGCTTTCGTCTAATTTCACCGTTTCTTTGTGTGTTCAGTGTTTGCAAATAGTGTGACGATGAAGTATGCAGGTCGCTTTCAGTGATGATAACTTTACATCGCGCGATCGTAAACTCTGTTTTGTCTAAAGATTTTTTCTCATCTCTGTAGGCGAACAACACTTTCAAAGGAAGTGCTCTCATAGAATCAATCACAGACTTGGCTGATGGAGTTTTTCTGAACGAGATCATGATGGACATGTAAGTACAATTTGTCAGAAATTTCCCTTCGATCATATGAGAGGTTACGGTGTTTGGATAGCTCAACAGGAGGCTAAATTCATGAGGTTTCTCGCATGTGCGATCATTAATTTCCCTTCACTTTATTCTTAGGAATTTTGTTTTTGTTGGGGTTTTTAATAATAGGTTCATTATTCTTAATTTTCCATTCAGAGATCCAACTTACTTCACGTTGACGCGAATTCATCAAAATGTTTACGGGGATGTGAGTTTGCGGATACAAAATTTGGACATACTTGTCAAACACTTGAGAAGTTATTACCAGGTAAGAATGGAATTTCGAAATAGAGGAAAAAATATTTAGTTCAACTGATATCTTTACAGGGCTAGAAATTAAAAAAGAAAGTGCTTGTAAGGCACTTTCCGTCATATACAATGGATTTGGCGGATGAATAAACTTTCGGGTCGTCGCCTCTGTGTCATGGTTTTTTTTACTGCAAGCAACACTTGCCGTATTATTTTTAACTCTTCGTCGAGTTTTTTTCGCAATAAGCGTTGTTCCACGTTTCTCTAATAGCTTTAAACTAATGTATTTATGCTTCGTATATGTTTTCTATGTTTCAACGAAAGGTCAAGAGCTTAGACTAGACGCATACCTGAGATTTTTAGCTGAGTCTTTAAATTTTGTATACCGTGTGATCGATGGCAGTAAGTGATCGACTTGCTTTGAAAAAGTATTGCATCAATCTATTTGTGTAGAAATACGCACGCTGTTGTGATTAAGGACTCTGAAATTCTTACCAAAGCAACACGGAGTATCGTCCGGTGTTGTGAATACAATGTCGTGAGGATAGAATGAGATCTGATTGCCTTGTTTTATGTTCAGTTGTCACGAATGTTTATTGCTTTTGTTCCTACATAACAAAATATTCTCATGCTGATTTCAAGGCTATTCCCACGAAGCCATTTGCTTACTTAACCGGTTTTTCGGTCATAAGTAATTGCCAAGAGCTCTCTCTTGCTCAGATGCTTTGCTTTATTTCGTCATGATACAGAAAAGGTAAAATTTTATCGACGCTTAGTATTGCCAGGTTTGCAGACATCGTCCAGTGTGACATAGTTCACGTGCCTTCCTTTTCAACATGTCAGCAATCTGGCAACTCTTTTGACTTCGGAACATCTCATATTCACCTTGGTAAACCTATTCTCACCTCAAATGAATTTTGGATTAAACGTTGGTCATGTGGCTTCCTCTACTTGTAAACATACCCAAAACTACCCGCTTTCAAAATATTTTTAAAGACATTTGTTGCAAATGTAAAAATTTTGTTGTATAGTGTGTAGTTTCGAATGATATTGTGATTTTTCCAGCTAGAATTGATGTATATTGATGATAAGATCTGAAGAGGTTTTATCAGTAGTTAATATGTATGCTAGAATCGATGATATGTAAATTTTTCCGTCAAAATATGGCAGTGTGTCAACAAGTAATATTGGGCTTCATTCAAAACAACCAAACATCGTGACTTCATTTACTCTAGATTGCAACTCTTTCAACAGAGAATGACGGCTGTAGACTTGTTAATGATAAACGTAAATATGAACTCTGAAGGTTTTTTTGTTAAAAAAAAAGAAAATAAGAAAATGCTAGAAAGGAACCAGCTGTAATTATCATTCACTCAGAAGGCCTGCATTCATGATTAAAAGTGTAAACATTTTTTTCATATTTCTAACAGCCCAGTCGTGCTTTTCATCTTCTTTTTTAAAGGAAAGGTTTACCTTGACAAACAAGTTTCATTTGTGCTCTTATTAAGAAATTTCTAGGTAATATTGCCTTCAAAATGGCACTCTTAAATTTTAAATTGTTTATGACTGATTATTTAATTAGTTAATGATTTGCATTTAGAATTTTCTGAGGTGTAGGAACATTTAGCAATGGAGAAAGTGGATGTTGGATTCATGTATTTATACCAAAAAAAAGTTAAAGTTGCTACTTTTCTGTGAGGATGATTTATTCCTAATTTTCCTCAAGTGTAAAATTAGTACCCTGCTAATTTGATCTTGGTTTTTGCAGTAGAAATTTATAATTTTCTAACTGATTGTGACTCTCAGTTTGGAATTTATGTATTAATACACAAGTCACAGCTCAGAGTCAAACATGTACATGTTAATATATATTTGAAAAATCTTTACTATTCAGAATGTTATAGAGGAGAAAAACTGCTTAGCTTCCATAGTTAATTAATACCCATTACATGAATTTCCATTGTGCTAGCTTTATGAAAATTTTAACTCCTAAGATACATGAATGGTAATTGTGCCTTCTGGTGGTGATACACATCCTTGTCAGGTATTTCCCTCAAGAAAGTAAGATAAAATTGTCAAGCCTAAATGTATGCTGTGGTCCCATGTTTGCTGGATAATAGTTTACAAAAAAGTTGCATTAATTGATACCCACCACTGAACATGTAGTAAGGTTATATCATAACAACAGCTTAATACAGAAAAGTTGAAATGATGAAAAACTATTTTCCTAAGAGATGAGACTGATAAATGTAGCTATTGACAAATGTTAATAGATTTACAAGGGTTTTTGTCCCATTAATTTATATGTTTGTGCACAGTTACAGGGTTTATACATTTTGTAGTTTGTTTCTAGAGGTGAACACCAAGGGAATTCATGGATAGTGATAATTTTTTTGCTGGTTATAGTTTTATATAGTTCCATCATGTACGTTCAGTTTTTATGGTTTCTCTCTAGCATCTGAAACTTCACATGATAATCAAACTTTATCTGAGAAATAAATTTACAAAACTATCCCTGATAATTTTGATATCATTTAAATTCTTTGTGATTTTGCTAAACACACTTCTGGCTCAGGTTATCTGGAATTGTATCTTGGTGAACATGAACCATGTAATTCTTGAATGAACTTATGATCTCTGTGGCTCATTACAAAATGCTATTGCCATTGGTCATTTGTAATAGTTCACTGAACAATGAATGCACCATCAGGCAATCCATTGTTTTGAAACAAAATCCTTAAAAGTGGCTCTTATCATGCTACAATTGACAGTTAATTGTGCATATTATGCCCCCAGGTAGTTACTATAAATATCTGTCTCTGTGGGAATTAAGGGTTCCAGAATCTTGTTTAACTAATTACTACAAATTATTTTTCACTGAAAATAAAAGGATGTACACCTTTTGACTTCTGTGTTGCTAAATGATGCAATTAAAGATAATATTATAATTATTACTGAGACTTGAATAAGATATTCTCAAAGTGATAATAAAAATATATATGACATGGTTTTGGCTTTCAAAGTTTGTTACATTGCATGGGCTCATTGCATTTACTTTGAAATAAATGCTAAATATTTTTTCTTGTCATAAAACACACTTCTCTTCCAAGTGGTGTTTAAGATAATCTATTCAATTTTTTGCGGTCTGTTTGTTGTTCTTTCAACATCCCCTGACTTTATCAGCATAGGAGATCTGTAATTGTTTTCTTTGTTAGAGTGACATGAAGTTTTCCAAATCTTTAAATCAAATTATCTCCCACATGTTTGACAGTCTGGGTCAGACACAACATTCAATTAACACTTGTCTGTCAGCCAAATATCTTTTTAGCCAGCATGTTATCACTGAATGCTTCAGTGATGTTACAAAAACAAAATTGATTGGAAAGTTGCTATTGTAAATATGCAGTAATTTTTAGGCAGAACTAACAGTTATTAATTGAATTAAAAGTTGAGAGTCTTGTTCATTGATTTTCAAAATATTTGCTTGTGTCAGTATAATTGAGATTCATGTTTGAAATGCTCTTTGTTTGTGAATATTGTTTTATGTGGCAGTATTACATGTAAACACTGCATTATTAAAGTTGGAATATGGCATATGCTCTTCTCAAATATACTGTAATAATATGTGAGAGCAAATATTTTTAGAAATCAGTGAGATATGTGTTGAGTGAATTTAATGCAACGGATTGATTCTAAGAACTTGATTGCATGTATTTCTGTACAAGATTTTGGAGAGAAATTGTTGTTTTAATTTCTTATGTACAAAAGTTATAGCAATGCATGTATAATTATGTTATTCCTGGTGTAAATCAAATCAATACTCAGTGTGTTAATTAAGTATCAAAGATTGGAGAATTCTTTGGATAAATTTAGACAGCATGAGCCATTTTGTCTCTAGACTTTAAGAATATTCTTTGGTCGCTTTATTTTATTCTCCCTGGAAATACTGATATTCTAATTTAAACCATTTACTATAAAGAATAATAATTGATATTTCCATGTCCTTTGTGGTCCTTCTTAGGAGAAACTACAGCAGCTTGTTATTTTAAGAATTCCAGACATTGTGACAATAGCTCGTGAACCGCAGAGTGGTGAGTTGACAAAAGGTTTTTTTTTGTTATTAAAAGGTGTTGTTTGGGCTTTTTTTAAAGTGAGTGAATTGTTTTAAACATTGTTTTTCATTTCAGTGGTATTTGTTACACAAAAATCACACAAAACATGACTGGTATGTTGTGGTAACCACACAGCAGAAGAATAACAAAAACCCAATCATAACTGGTGCTTTTCGAGATGTCCCTGAATATTTTCTTAGAAAAGTGATTGGGAAAATTCTCTACTAGAGTCATCCAATTTGGACATAGCACTCCTTTTGTTATTTTCCACATGATTAGGACACAATAATAATTATTTTGAAATGAATACAAATAATCCTTCAGATGAAGCAGCAGAAGAACTCACCAAGATCCTGCTGTTGATGCTGGGTTGTGCTGTCCAGGTAAGTATCAGATTATAGAAAAAATTCACATGTACATCCTTGGTGACAACACAACAGGTTCTTGTCGGAAGTTACATGTAATCATAGTAAAATAAAATAATAAAATTTGGCTAAATAACAAAGCCAAATTTGTTGATAATGTTGTAGTTAGAGGCTCAGCAATAATGTGCATGAAAAGATGTGTTTCCACTTCTCTCTTGATTATCTGGGACTTTCCTGGATTCAGAAAAAATCTCCTGATCCTCTGCAGGGTTTACCAAATTTCCTGAATAATAGAAAATTTGGTTAAAATTTTTTTTTCTCTAAGCAGTAGGGAGGAAGTAACATTACATTATAATTATGTGTACAATGAAAAGATAAAACAATTTTCTCTTAAGGGATGGTTGTATCTGGGAATTTTTTATTTTTTTTGAATTATATGTGTCCAGATTTTAAACTTGTCTTGTCAGAGACTGGTACATGTACAAAGCAGTCTTAGATTATTCATAATTAAATGAAATAATTCTGTGTATCTGATTAGCTTAAAGTGAGAGCACTTTTCATGTAACATGAGGGAAAATTACAAATAGCACAAGCAGGCCACCAAAATTTTTCCTGCCTGGACTTTCTGTGATGTATTTTCATGTAAATTATTAACAAGTAACAACATGATTTCTCGTACAAAGTGGTGTACATAAGAACTTGTAAATTTTTTGAAGCCTACAAATTGCACTTGCCCTATGGGCTTGTGCAATTTTGTTGTCGTCGAAAAATTTATGAGTGCTTATTAACTCCAAATTGCACTCAAACTCTTGTAATGCGCACTTGATCATATCTTTATTGCATGCTAGACTGCGCAATATAAGAAATAAACATCATCATCATCATCATCAAAGTCATGGTGTTACTTATGCTAATAGTATCAATTTAGGCTTTGTGTATTGGGAAGGGGGGAAAGTTCTCTGCTTTTTGACTCTGTGTAATAATTAAAAAAAAAATTCATTTCTTGTGATATTTGTCTGCTGTGCAATTTATTGTATGTTCACTGAACATAAACTCTGTTCTTTTGTCTCAGTGTGATAATAAGGAGCACTTTATTGAAAGAATCAAAGAGATGGACCTTGAAGTTCAAAGATCTTTGGTGGAACATATCCAACAAGTAGGTTATATGTCTATGTTGTGGTTGATTCTCTGATGTGCAATGCGTAAATGTAATTAGGATGCTAGTCCTGTGTTAATAACAGAGTGGAGTGGAACTCACTGCCCGCTGACTTAGTACCGGTAAATTGCAAGCCATTATCTAATTTTAAGCTAAACTTAGGAAAGTATGTAAAATAAGTAAAGGAAATTCCAAGTTTATCCCTCTATCTGGCTACCACTTGGCTTGCTATTTTAGTTTTAACTTTGGAATATTCAATAAAACTTCTAAAGAAACTGATGTTTTGCAGTCAACTTGATGCCATTGTCAAGGTAAATAAGGGAAATATAGAAGCAATCACAATATAATTGAGCAAATAATTGTTATTGTTACTGTGGTTGTGCAATGGAATTCCAGAATTACACATCGGAATGCTTTTGCTTGTATTGATTCCCAGCCAGGCTCCATGTTAGCAAATGCATTCTTCCTTTATCATCATTATCATTGATTACTACCTTCAATGTCTTCCTTACTTACCTTGACATTGGTGTCATGACAACAAAACATTAAGTTATTTTTGGTAGGTTTTCCCAGTCTTTGCACATTGTATTTCAATGTGCATTCAATGAAATGAATACGATGATAACTATAGTTGGATAATTGTGAATCTTTGTGGTACACAATTTTTCAAGATGACTATTGTACTTAAAATTATGTTCTAAGGCTGAAGGTCTTAATATGTACATTATATGACACAAGTGCTTATGGCTTTTGCAGCATGCTTCCCTCTTCTCCTCCAGGGTGTGGATTTAGTTTTACATGAATAAAGTTTAAATGATTTTAAGTTATGAAAATGTGATGGAAAATTCTTTTTTTTTACTCTCACAAGATCACAGACAATCCAGACAATGTTCTCACCTTCAGACCTCATGACCTGGCTGAATATTCTGCTGAGTGAGTGATGACATACATTTTTGTATTGTATTAGCTTCTAGGAAATGTCTGATTGTGTTGCAGGGCGTGAAATTAATTTTTTTTTTTCTGATAGCCATTTGGCTCCTAAATTCTTCAAAGTGGTAGCCAATTCAAAAAAAGTTGGTCACCAGTTGCAAAGACAAACAAAACCTTTTTTACGCTGTTAGCGTTCTAGATTGACCCTCAAAAGTTAAGTTAGGGAAAAGATCTTTCACGAGCTACATAGTGGACACTAGGATGGATGATGTACAATCTTTAAGCTCAACTAAATCCAAGATGGTGTTTAGTTATCGATAGGGATGTATGTGCTGCGTTTTGGAAACAAACTTAGCGAGGAATTTTGCCACGGATTTATCTTTGCAAATCTTTTTAATTCACTATATCTCTTGGAAAGGTTATGATAAAACATTCTAGTTGCCAATTTGGTGACTAATTTTCAGGATTTGGTTGCCAAAGTGAAAAATTTAGTCGCATTGGTGCCTGTATTAGGTGCAATTCCACGCCCTGTGTTGATTTTACATGTACATGTGTGTACCTACATAAACCTACTTGCAGAGTTACTTGACTCCCTTCAGCGTGTAAAAATACTGGGATAAGGAAAAGAAAATTTTGCAATCTAGACCACATCTTCTTGCTGATTGAAGAAGGAAGTGCTGGTGGTTCATTTTAAAGAGATCTTCTCAATGGATTCAGATGAAATGAAATGTTTGGGAAATGATTAGCATTTGGAATGGTTCTGTGCCTCATGGTCACATGTTCTATAGTGTAACAAACTAAGAATCTTGATTTTTTAAATCAAAACCAACATCAAAGTTTTTTGTTTTTGTCTGGAAACAGGCAGTTGTTGGGTTTTGCAGAAAGTATGTTTTATCACATGACACAGTTGGCTGAGGACAGAGACAACTGTTCTGGGGTAAGTGCTACTGTGAATTAGTCCTCTTGAGATCTTATTTAATTTCATTTTTGAGAAATTATTTTCTTCATTGTATTTTGATATATTATTTCAACTAGTTCATGAAGTTTGAAAGACATTAGGTTGCAGTCTGCTGTAAGACAGTTGTTGTGGAATAGTCAGTGGTGCCTCTAATCTTTGGGAAATTGATTTTGGTTATTCTTGTTGACATTACAAGCAGTTTTCAACTATGGTAACCCTTTAACTCCCCTGATGACCAAGACAGAATTTCCCCTTATAATATCAATACAATATCAAGCAAATAAGTGATGATAATAAAGAAAAATATAAATTAGGTGATTATTAGTTGATCCAATACCAAATTCTCCAAACTAGCATCATAAGGATTTTTGGCAGACAGCAAAGAGAATTACTAATTATAAATGAGAGCTTGGGAGTGAAAGGGTTAATGTTTTTTTAATCCTTTTCATTCCCTGGAGCTCAGTATCAGTTCTCCCTTTTACATTGTACATGTAGTTCTCACAACATTTAGTTTCAAGAGTTTGAGAGTGTTATTTCTGTTAACAAAAAATCCTTAAGTTGATAAGTATATTAACTATTTTCCTCCTCTGTACACTAGTCAATGTAATGTTACTTCATATCTGATCTTTCATCTACAATTGATATGTTTTTCTCATCAGATGATGTCACACCTGTCTTACGAAAGAGATGCACTTCTCCGTGATAGCGAAGTGAGCCTAGTTTGAATGACATTTAGAGTTGATTTTTTGTAAAAATTATTTGATTAAAACATTCCAGTACAGTTGTGTTGGTTATTGACTTCAAAAATCTGTGATAATCACGACTTGATTTCCTCCTTTCAAGACCAAGGGTCGTCGTCCATTTTCACCACCAGCAAGCCCTGCTGTCAGTCACAACAAAGAGTTGACTTCTACATATGCTAACAAGGAAAAGATCAGACTTCTCACAGAGGAAATGTAAGTGAGACTGTCTGTTCAGTTGTGTCCAAACGACATGTATTGTGTTATACACTTTATGTTAATTAGAGCTGCATTTGTTAGGTATGTACTGAACCCGGACATGCAGTCATTTTGTAGGTGCAGTATGCCTAAGATGAAAAAAATGGCTTAGATCGTTTGTGTTCATTTTTTTTTTTTCAGAGAGGAAAAGAATGTTGCCCTCGCAGAACTTCGAGATGAGCTGCTGGCCAGCAAAAAGGGTTTGGAGGCACTAAGGCAGGAGGTAAATAAAAAAGACTAAGGACTTTTTCAACTGAGATCTGTCATGGATCACAATTATTTGAAGTTGGCCAACCACATGTTCATTTTCTTTTACATTGATCCTTTTTAGAATAAGAGTTTATCCCAAGATGCCCGATGGGTGAAAGCTTACAGAGATGAGATTGATGCACTGAAGTCTAAGGTATCATGGTGTTTTGAGCGTTTTAATTTTCTTAGTTGTAATCAGGTGCATATATTTAGATATATTGGGGAGCAAGGGTGGCACATTGACAAGAGCACTTGCTTCACGACCCAGTGGCCAAGGTTCATCTCCCACATCTAGTGCCACTTGCAGTTGCAGTTTTTTGTTGTTGTTTCCTGTACTTTTGCATGGGTTTTATCATGCTCCTCTAGTGTTTTTTGGCGTGAAAAATTCAGCTTTCAAAATTCCATTGCCACTGGGAATCATTAGATGAAGAACCTTTCTGTGGAGGAGCCACTCTGAAATTATATCCATTTTTTGTATAATGTTGGACTCTTTTACAGTTTGTTATTATTTTCGTCTCCTGTTCAAACAATCATCATGTTTACCTCTTCAGACGGACAAAGTTGATAGACTTGAGGCTGACAACCAGAGATTTAAAGAAAAGCTACGGGATTTAGATTACTACAAAAAGAGAGCTGAGGTGAATTCAGTTATATATATAGTAGTATTGTGCTCAATCATGCACTGTAAAGAAAACTATTTAAATGTACATAATTTCACACACATTACATGAATGAAAGTTAGATAATTGAAGGGTTCCTATGGTCAAGTCCTTGAACATAGCACCGATTAGTCATAAAATATGTTTTATTGAACTTTATGTAGCCTGGCGACTCTCTCTGAAGGCCATTACCCAGAAAATGAAACATACAGAAACATACTACAAAGTTTTTGTATGAAGAAAAAAGACCACGATGTTCGGATGGTTTAAGCTAGGAGTAGAGTTTCTAACATAATTCTGGATTGTATCCATGTGGATTTTCTTTCTATCATGTGTGATTGGCTTAGAGAACTCACATGCCTTAAAATGTAAGTCTTCTGCAAAAATTAACATTGACTGTGACTCGGTAACTAGCACTGTTGGATTTGACATTGCCACATCCAGTCAAAATGTGCTCCAGTACATGTGACGAGTAACAGAAAAACTTTTTTACGTTACTCTTGTTTTATTTTTACAGGAACTGAAAGAACAGAATGAGTTATTATATGAAACCAAACTTGTTCTGGAAGAACAAGTGGCTGGAATTAACTCCAAAGAAGAAAGAATCGGTGAGTAAATTCCTTGAATAAGGGGATCATTTTAGGAAAGGTATTTGAGAAGTACAGATGTCTTCCATTTCTTTTACTTTTATAGGCAAAGTTGTAACGTTATAAATTGTTTTTTTAGAAATATTGGAGGAAGAAAATAAAAAGTTGAAGTCTCACATTCATCATTTAGCAGAGGTGAGTAACTAATTCCGGATTATAGGACAACCTTAAAGATTTCTTAGTTCTTCATTAATTACAAATTATTTTTTTTTTTGCATGAGTTGTATGTCTGTAGAAGTGAGCGCAAAAAAGTAAGCACCTTCTAGATGAAAGCACAGATGTCGCGTTGCTCTATCGCTGGATCTAAATTGCCCTAAGTGTTTTTGTTTGTAACTATGTATTATCTTTGTCATTCAGGAGAGGCAGTTCGACCAACTAAAGCTAAAGGAAGTGATGGAAGAAAATGCTCAACTTATTGTAGACAAACAGAACAGGTAATCTGTCCCAAATATATTTTTTCGCTCTGATGAATGACTTTATCCTTTCGCTGACGAAAGGATAACGTTCACACCGTCAGCTTCAGCAACTCTTTACATAATCAGTTCAGATGATAAAACCAAATTATCTTGTTTAGTTTTATTAGTTGTATTGATGAGAGGGTTTTCTCTTCGCCTCTTTCCTTCCATTATACTTTGCTTCTAAAACAGTGTACAGGAACTTAACTTAAGAAGTAACCTCAGTTTTGGCATCTTGAATCGTTAAGCTTATTTTTTTCAGGTTTGTTATTCGCAGACTGCGTTAATGTTCTCAATGCTTTCCATTTTGTTATTTTCTGATCTTCTTAAACCAATATTTTGTGGTCTAAAGATAATTTTTCTTTATTTGAGACCGTGCCCGGCAGTCAGAAAAGCTTTCACAAAATACCTCATGCAGACCTCTTTGGATGTATGACTCCAAAAATTACGATGGTTTCTTAGTGGAGATTTTCTTTGAGCTTGTTGATATCGCAAGTGTTCAAGTGTCGAAAATCTAACAATTTTACGGTATGCACCGTAATTCGTCCACCAAAAGACCACACTGATTTTTTGAAATTTCTCGAGAAACATCTAATACTCTGAAGAAGTTTAAAGAAACTGTTAAAATTTCTGATTGCTGGGCGTTTAGACACTACGAAAAAAAAAATGATGGTGTGGCTTGAAAGTTACTGACATGTTTTGTTTGTGTTGGTCTTAGCATGTCTGAGGCTGCCGCTCTAACGTCTGAAGTAGATGCACTCCGCGGGAAGAAATCTCCAGGTACCGAACCTTTAAAAGTGCCTTTGCCTCTGACGCCTACTATAGAATGATTGTCGCGTTGTGTGTAACCGACTGTGTGTAACGTATGGTCGGCCACATTCCACCTTCTCACGTTCCTTAAAAGTGATTTGCAAATGTTTTACCATTTACGAGTTTTTTTTTCTTTTTACAGGTTCCTCAACGTTTGCCAGCGAATTTAGCGAGTCCAGGTAAAACATTGACGTGGCACAGTATATCGCCAGTTCTTTTATTGTCTCCTTGTGATATTTGACTTTCTTCTGATTGGTTGTTGCGAGTTCTTTAGTGCTAGTTTACGACACTTAAACATAAAAATTACAATATCCTCGATTGTGATTGGTTTAAAAAATTCATATCTTCTACTAATTCACTTGCCAAGTAGTTATCGGATTGTTTGTTAGCGGAGAGTTCAATCAGCCAATCACGACCAAGCCGTGATTGGTTTCAGTTTTGTACCTGATTGGTTAAAAGAGTAGCACGTGTTTTCTGGGCCAACCTCAAAGCGGAATAAAACACAAACAAATTACTCCCGGATTATTTCCGATACAAGAGAAAATTGCTCTGTAACTTATTATTTGCTAGAGGAAACAGCTTTCACAAGTCAAATGCCTATGTGAGCAAAGTGACGTAAAAAGTTAAGGGTTTACCGAGAATTTCTGTTATATAGGATGGGAAGATTGAAGATTTGGTATGTTCTATTTCAGCTCCATTGAAGTTCTTCGAATGCAAAAAGAAAACCAACAACTTAGGAAAACCATCGACGAATTAAAAAACTCGAATCAAAGGATCATTGAACTGGAAACTGCAAATGAACAGCTGCAGAAGGCGACCTTGGAAGGGAAAACAACAGTATTTCACCTGAATGAGGTGAGTCGATGCAACTCGTTAGTGCACGGTATTAATACGTTATTAATTATTTATGGAAACAAGAACAACAGTATTAGCAAAACAAGGACAACAACTCAACGATATTACCATGACAACAACGACGACGTAACTTCTTTCAAGATAACAATTTTGTGACTGCTGTTTCTCTCTTTTTATCATCGAACTCAGAAACAAATTAAAAACTCGTAAATGTGTGAAGTTTTGTTCAAAAGGTCCATTAAAATTTTGACTTGCATGGATCCACATCCCATTTAGTTGATGTCACTCCCTTTAACCCTTTAACCCTTGAACTCCCATAAGTGACCAAGACAGAATTTCTCCTTACAATATCAATACAATATCAACCAGATAAGTGATGAGAATAAAGAAAAATATCAATTTGGGGATAATTAGTTGATCCAATACTAAATTCTCTGAGCTAACATTATAAGAATTGTATGGTTGACAGTAAAGAGAATTACAAATTTGATCTGGGAGTTTTTTTCTTACTTGTACCCTTTTTCCAGGCAAGAGAACTTGTGTCATTCCCTTTATATAACGAGAAAGGAAAAAAAGAGATGAGGCTCTAGTTACTTGAAAAAAGCCGTCACTTTTGAATGTGTGCAAGTTAATTGCTTTGAAAATGATGCGGAGTAACGATGTGCAGTGAAGTACTAACGATTGACCTTCAATCAATTACACAGGAGGTTGCACAATTTAAGGCGAGAAATTTACAGCTGGAGAATGACTTAAACAAGATGCGCTCTGTTGTGAAGCAACAACAAGAAGAGCTGAAGACTTCTGTGGACAATGTGCTCAACCTGTCTGGAGAACTGAGGGAGAAAGGCGTCGAAATAGCTCAAGTCGAAGAGCAAAATTTACTGTAAGTGAGATCCTTGGCTTTAATGACGAAATGAGCCTTTTTTTGTCAATATAAAGTTAAACCACACGTCTAAGGAATATAGAGTTCTTTTCGATTTCAATCTTAAAACCAAAGCCAAAGTAATCACGGCGGCTGATCAGAAAAAAGGAAAACTCCTTGAGAGCCAATTAGAACTCAAAGAAAAACTAACGCGGGAAAACGCGTGCTACCAATTCGTGATTGGTTTTTGATTTTTACATCTGATTGGTTGGGGGAGTGACGCGAGTTTTCTAAACCAATCACAAAGCAAAGTAAAACAAAACCAAAGCAACCCCGGCAAGGTTTACTTTCGACACTCGATTGAAGAAGAACAACTGAACGCGACTCTGAGCTTTTTCCATCGAACCTTTTGTCTTTCAGTAACTTTCAGCTTTCAGAAGAGAAACAAAGGAATCTTGTTGATCTGGCTGAAGAGCTGAAAGAGAAGAACGTCAAACTCACACAGTTAAACCAAGATGCTGAGCAAAAACAAGAGAAAATAATCGAACTCAGCCGGGTAGCCGAAGAGAGACAAGCAAACGTTATGGAATTGTATCAGCGAGTAAAAGAAAACGAACATGAAATTAAAAACCTCGCAGAACAGTCCGAGAGTAAAGGCGAGAAGATTGCGGAGTTGACGAGGTTGGTGCAGAGGAAGGAAGAAAAACTCGCAGATTTAAACTTGGAAGTAAAAGAGAGGAAAAAAGAAATTTCAGAGTTGCAAGATTCGGTGAAGGAAAAAGACGACATCGTTGCGAAGATCACTCAAAAGATGAAAGATAGAGAAGAAGTGATTGCGGAGTTAAAAGAGAGTATTGAAGCTAAAGATAGGCGGATTCCGAGTCTTGAGAAAAGGTACACATAGACGTAAATGTATGTTAGCGGCGTAGTCGAAGCTTGGTGCATCAACCATTTGCTGTGTGTTAAACCTTTAACTCCCATGAGTGACCAAGACAGAATTTTTCCTTCCGATTTCAATACAATATCAAACAGGCAAGAGATGAGAATAAAGGAAAACTGTCAATTAGGGGATTATTAGTTGATCCAATACTAAATTCCCCGAACTAACATCGTAAGAATTGTTGGGCCGACACTAAGAAGAATTACTAATGGGATTTTGGGAGTGAAAGCGATAAAAGTGGTCACACTAGTCATCAAGCTGAGATTGGGTTAAGTGTTGCATTTGATTGGTTAAGGGGTGGCGCGAGTTTTCTAGACCAATCACCGACTTTAAGCTAAGCAAGACTAATCCAACCCAGGATAACTTTCGACAGGCGATTGAAAACTGCTCCTTTGGAAAGCAACTGAAAGATTATCGCTTAATTTCTACCACAGACTCACAGAGGCAACTGACGAACAAAATGAAACAGAAGAAATGCTGAAAAAGCAGAGGAAAGTCAACGCTGAGCTTGAAAATAGGTGAGTTGGTTTTGACGGATTGTAACGGGGGCTTGAGCTCTATTAGGGGGGTTCGGTCCTTTTGTATATGAATTTTGTGCAAGCCACTTTTAACGTGCTGATTTTCTTTTCAGAATCGAAGATTTCTTGTCTCGCAGCAAGAAGTCCGAGGAGAACATCAGAAGGAAAGACGACGAGATTAACGAACTCGAGAACAGGTTTGAGTAAATCTGGCAGATTGACGGCCTTTTATACAGGATCGTGACAGCTTTTGTTGTGCCAAATTTAGCCTATAAACTGAATTCGCCATTATTCAGTAAATAATTCATGCGGTAATTCGAAGGTCGCGAGTCTGGTCCACGTAAACATCTTGTGCGGTGTCTATTCCGATACACTCACGCTACACGTGATCTTCACGTCATGTGATCAAATTGCCAAACTCGGTCGTACCGATTAATTTTTTTTTCCATTAATTTCCTATCTTGTTTCTCTAAATCCAACAGGGTTGAAGAAACAGTCAATCAAAAGAACAGAACAGATGAGAACCTCAGAAAGAAAGAAAAAGAAGTCTACGAATTGAAAAATGGGTAAGGACTATGCACGCTTTCGCGCCTTAGTTTTCCGTTTTGATGAACTTGTCTAAAACTCTTGTGCTCGTGTTTATCGAAATTGTTGGTGGATGTAGAGATTACGAACAATGTTACTTAATGTATGGTTTTCTTCTTTTTGTAACAGACTCGAAAAAGTCACTGACGAAAATGAGAGAATATCAGAAGAGCTTAAGTTCAAGGAGCAAAAAGTACAGTCTTTGCAGAGAAGGTTGGTTCAAAACATTTCGTATCCTGATATCTGTTTTGACTTAAAAACGTGTAGATTTTTTTGTATTTCTTGGACCTGAGGGTCACAACAAGGCCAAGACGTTTCCAAAATATAAGTAGTAAGGGATCGTACAGACAAACCTGAATGCGACCTCGTATGTGGGACGAAGCTAGAACTACATGTACAAGAAACGAAGATCACGTGCAAAACGACGAAGCACTGAAACGAAAAGGAGGAAGTGAACGATACAAAAAAAAAAAAAAGTAGAAAAGAATTTGGAACAGGGAAAGCTAACGTAACGAACAAAGCTAAGAGAACAAATCTAGTGGCCAATAAAACAAGTAATTGAAAGAGAGGAAAAGAACCGAAGAACAACACAGAAACCTAAAGTCACCTGAAATGTTTTGTTTTGTTGTCGTTAGAGTGGAAGAACTAATGCTTTCCTTGGATGAAAACTCAGAGACACTGAATAAAAACCTCAAGGAAAAGGAAAAGGAGATCAGAAATCTCGAAAGAAGGTAAACAGGGAACAGTGTACGTGGCATTTCTTAAAGATGGCAAATGTCTTCCCTCGCTTGGGATAAGTTTCTGTGTTCTTTGGAAAGCATCTATTTCAAACAGGTCGTATTCTAAGTTAGAGAGGAAACTTAATAGAAATAAGCATTCTGTGTTGGAATTTTTGCCCTTCAGTCCAGAAAAAGCCTTGTTGGCCTTTTGGACCTCCAAACTTGCCAAGAGTAAATTAAAATTAATGTAATTAAAATAATCGGCAAGGTTACATTTTATTTAGTTTATAGCAAGCTTTCTTTTGTCCTCCATGTTGTCTTAATTAGCAAAACTGTCTTCACGAGTCTACTTGTATGAAATTCTGTTTTAAAATATTTTCCAGAATTGAAGACCTTACTGAAGCGTTGGACGAGAGAGAAAAAATTAAACAACTCGTGAAGGAAAAAGAGGAAAAGTTAGAAACACTGAACAAGAACTTTGACGAAAAGGACAAGCTATTACAGGAACTCGAAAGCAGGTGTGTCAGTCGCTCTGACGAAGGGTTAACGCTCAAAATTTTAGCTTTGAAATTCTTTACGGTGGCCAATTTACATTACCAACTCAGTTGATAATACTAAGTTACCCTGTTATACTCTCCCACCGACACAGCACCAAAGTTTATTTAAAAACTTACCACCCTTTACAGGTTTGTTCAACCGACTATTGAAAATCTTGAGAGCTAGAGAAAGGTCTCTCCATCTTGGAAAGTTTGGCTTAAATGATAATTATATGTTCACCGTGTCTAGTCCGTTTGAACGTCTCCATTCTTAGCCATTCCTTTTTCCTTCTTGGGTTTTTGTTACCTCCTTTGTGCTTCATATCTTACCTTATGTTTTGTAGTTATTTTTAGTCCGTGTTATTTTTCCTCCATCCTTTGTCAGCCTTGTTTCTTCTTGGTTTACTGTTGCCTCTTTTGTGTCTTGTACACTGTATTTTATCGAACTTACATTTTGTAGTCATTTATAATGTGTTTTAATTTTCTCCATTCTACGCCAACCTTTTTCCTTTTTGGATTTTTATCGTCTCATTTCTTTTTTTCTTTTTTTTTTTTTTTTCTTTTTTACTTAACGGAGCTAATGTTTTGTAGTCATCTACAATGTGTGTGTTATTCTCCTCCACCCCAGCCGTCCTTCACAGCTGCTTCTTTTGTGTCTTTTTGTTTTATCCAAACTAAAACTTCGTTGTTATTTTTAATCTGTGTTAATCTTCTCGATGCCTAGCTATCCTTGCACCTTCTTGTATTATAGTCTTTTTTGTGTTTTTCTATCTTACAAAACTAATATTTTGTTGTTTTTCGCAATCCATGTCAATCTTCTCCACTCTACACCTTCCTCGTATCTTTGTGAATTATTCTTTCCGTTTTGGTTTTTTTTTTCCTCTCTTACCATGGTAACAGTTTGCATTCTTTCTTCGTCGTTCAGGTTGGAGGAATCAAATGGTGAGAAGAAAAAACTTGAGCATATGACGAAACTGAAGGATAAGAAGATCGAAGCTCTTGAAAGCAGGTATACGTGATTTGCTACTTGGGAAGGGAGGGTCGGGCAGAGAATGGCTGGTATGGGGTTTATGGTTTTCTATCTGCTGAGGGGAAAAATATAATAATTCTGTTTTGCGCTTTGCAGTCTGGCTGAAGTAGAAAACACCAGCACGGTGCAAAAAGACGATCGACTTATGGATATGAAGAGAAACGTAGAAGGGAAAGACAACAGAATTATCGAGCTGGAGAGCAGGTTTGGCTTATGAAATAGTATGAGATGATGGGTGGTAATAAGTGATATGCCTCTGAGCTAATATACTGTCCTGATTTCTAAGTTAAGTTCTTTTAGACTTGTAGTTGCTGGAAAATAGTGTAAAGTCACGGGGAAATGTTCTCTTGTCCAAAGAAAATATATCTCGGGTCATCGAAATCTGTGTGGAAGTAGGAGAATGTTTAGACGTCGGGGGCCCGGTGAACGGTTTTTGATTCAGGTGAATATTGTCGTACGGGGAACCAGCAGTGGTAGTTGGAATCATTATATATTTCCCTTGAAGTGATTGGTTAATTCTGTCAAGTAAACACGATTACGGTAACAGTTAATAGTAATGGCGTTGTGATTTTCGTAGTTATCTTGTCGTTGCTCGTTCTACTAATAGGAAACTGGTAAAGACAAGAAACTATCTTTCTCTTTGTTCAGTTTTACTTGATTGCGTTCTTTCTTTCGCTTTAGATTGGAGGATGTGTCGTTAGCCAACTGTAAGCTCCAACAGGGCCTGAAAATCAAGGAGGAGAAGATTACAGAGTTAGAAACGAAGTATGATTTTTTTGTAACGTACTTGATTCAATGATAAATTTTGGGTTTTAAGTACGTACATGCAAATCAATGAGTACTAAAAAATATACACACCCGCTTCCGCGGATATTGTCGATCATTTGATACTTATTTTATTCAGAAAAGACAGCTCCACAAATAAACCTTCTCTTCTGAACAAATTAATGTGATAAGATTTGGAATTATTTTGAAAGACATTCATCACTGCGTTTTTTCCATGCAGAATTGAAGATGTCGAAAATTTAACGTCCGAGAAGAACAGGCTGACCCACAGTTTGGATCAGAAAACGAAAAAGGTTTTGGATCTAGAAACGAAGTAAGAACTGATCTTCAATGCGCATAATAGTAATTCAATCGGTCATTATAGTATAAGCTTCTGTTTTGGTTCTACAGGCTGGAAGAAATGTCAAGCGACAACCAGAGATTACAGCTTAGTATCGAGCAGAAAAATGGAAAAATAAGATCGCTGGAAAACAAGTATGTTAGAGAATTTGTATCAGCATGTTATAGCGCACATAACGACATGCAGTCTTGGAAGGACTGTTATTCATTTGCAATACAGTAAGAAGTTCTTGTTTAATCCTTAATGGTTAATCCGCTTTTAAACCAATTTACAGGGTTTTAGAACTTGAAGAGTCCTTGGGCTCATCGCATCTTCTGCAGCAAAATATCAAACAGAAGGACGAGAAGGTTTCCGCGTTAAATCAGGTCATTCAGGAAAGAGAGGAAAAGCTTGCTGAACTGGAAAATAAGTAAGGGAGAAGGAAAAACTTGTATTTTCTACTATATGTAGAGGTTAATCACGGCTTTAGCAGGTTGTTTGTGACTGACACTGGTACTACCATTGCACTGGACTACAGATCGAGAGGTCCTGTTTCCTGGTTCCTGGTTCCTGGGTATAACATCACACTTTCGCCGGAAGTTTCAATGCGATTTAAATGTGTCTGCGTTCGTTTTGCTGGGTTCGTTAAACGTTTCACAAGGTTCATGTTCGTTTTCTTTCGTCACACAGGCTGGAGGATGCCCAGGCTCGTAATCATAAACTGGTGCACAGTCTAAAAATGAAGGAGGAGAAGATCACAACACTGGAGGAAAGGTAGCCTATTAAAGTACAAGACAGTGTAACAAAATTAACCACTACGAGCCTAGCGGGCTAATAAAGTCAGCTGTCATCGTCACAAATGCAGGCTTGCGAAATCGTTACATCTAACATCTTGAGGGTCTCGAGCATTTTAGTGGCGGCCGTTCCTGAAAGCGGTTGTTTTCAAGTATTCCCCCACCCACCACTTCTCTCTTTTCCTTTCTGTTGATCCATTCTGATTCCGTGTTGACAGGTGCCTGGAATAGGGACTGGTTGGCAAAGTGGAAGCCACTAGGTCCTCCACGCACCCACCCTTCATTTTAGCATGGCAGTGACGTTCATTTTTATCACCTTAATCGATCCGTTTGTTTTGTAGAAGTACAACAGTCTCTTTTTATATTTCGCAGTGTGGAAACTCTAGATGAGCTCATGTCAGAGACGAAGAAGCTTAACCAAGCCGTTCAACTGAAAGACGAGAAAATCAAAGCGTTGGAAAACAAGTAAGGCCCTGCCCAGACACATGCTTGCGTGTGGTCAGGGATAATGATAAGGAAATTGATCTTCAGGGATCATGTTGGCTTTGTGCCGTAAGAAAGCGTTGATTAGACAATTCATTCAAAAATTCCTATTACTCATAGTCAAACACACGTTTGAATTACTGCGGTGGGTTTTTTTTTTCAGATTGGTAGAATTTGAAGAATTGACTTCTCGCAACGCCAAGTTGTCAGATTACCTCAAGCAAAAAGATGATAAGATTGTTCGACTTCAAGAGAGGTGAGATAATTAATTTTAAACTGGAGAGTCAATTGCGCGCAGCTAATTTTTTTTCAACATCGGAGTACCTTGTTCACATTGTTCAGCGGTCGACACATTTGTGACGTAACTCAGTCATAAATCTTAGCAGACGGGACCGATGGGCTAATCGTTTTCAGTGTTTATGTATTGCCTCTGCTCGCACGCCGCATGTACAGGAACTCACCTATAAAACTACGATATATTACAGAGTAAAAACTGCGATTAATGAAGTTTTTACTATAGTGATCACTCTCAATTGACAAAACGCAAATTGGCGCGACAAACCGAACCTTGGTTTGGAATCATATGTGGTTTGGAAATATGAAATATTAAATGTTCAAACTTATTTTGGGTTTTCAGGCTGGACGAAGTAGAAGATGCCGTAAACATCAACAATAAATTAAGCCAAACTGTGAAGAACAAAGATGAGAAGATCTCCAGCTTTGAAACCAGGTAAAGTGAAAAGCGTTTTATCAATGCTTCAAAAAATAGATGGGCAGAGCTTTTTTAATGCAAATAAAAGGTTGTCCTTAGTTATATAAACAACTTAAAGAGCAGCGACCAAATAAAAAGAACCGTAAAAAATGGAACTAAATGAAGTTTGTGTGTGCAGGCTTGGCGAGATGGAAGAACAACTAGACAACAGAGACAAGGAATACAGAGACATGAAAATGAAAGCTGAGGAGCGAATCAAAGCTTTGGAGAAGAAGTTAGTACTTTTATTGAATTTGTTTTACGGATAAAAAGTTTGAAGATAAACGATCGGGTGAATAGAAGCAAGTTGTCACGGTTTCATGGCTGTTTCATTTGTGGACATTGAGTAATTTTGTACATATTTAAAGAGACGTAGTGATTGGTGCACCCTTGTTGCAGAAAAAAAATTCACCGTTTAGATACAGCACAACCAACACGAGCCCTCAAGCTTTCGTTAACTTTATATGCTAAAACAAACGCCAGCAAATGCTCCAATGATAAAATAAATTAAAAGACGTACCAAATGAATGTATTGATAAAACATTCATACTTAGAGTAAAATGTTGCATAACTGATTTTAGTTAAGCATCTTTTTGCATCCTGTTTTTATTATTTTCATGTTTGCTTCGAATATTTGGAGCTTGTTATCTGCTGCCTAGAGTAGACGCTGATTACTTTTTAAGTCGCCAAGCATTAACTTAATTTTCTTGATATCTATTCTTAATTGTATTTCCTAAAACTAAATGTAAAAAGGCTGAATTTTTAACTTTACCATTAAATTAAGTCAGTGTGGAATTGGAACCATCAAGATAACCCCGATTTAAATTTTGTAAAAGGGATTAATTTTTCGCGGGGTACTGAGGCATGTTAGCTAATTAGAACGTTGGATGGACACCTTAAATAATCTCCGCGAAACGCAACTCGTTGGCAAAAGTTTTTGGATAAGTCGCTTAAGAACACAAAGTTGGTTGTTAGGAAGTAACCAATGAGGCGCACTTTGTAGTGTTTGTTTTTCGTCGAATCGGATCGAGTTTATTTTTCACGTTTTCCTTCGAATAATTGAAATTGTTCTCTTTGTCACGGTTTTCTAATCGGCTGCTTCCAATGCTATTTCCCTCATGCTACTCTTGCTGAACATTTATGAAAGAAAAGCTATTTATCTTAAAAAGTCTTTGCTTGCTGTGCCAATGAATGCAATGGTGAATCGTATTTCTAGTCCAATTTCTGTGTCCAGTTACTATGTCATCTGCATATAAACACACATACATGCCAAAATTCCTCCATTCGCTCTGACGAAGGGCTAACGCTCGAAACGTTAGCTTTGAAACTTTTTACGGTGGCCAATTTAGGTTATCAACTCAGTTGATAATTCTAAATTACCCTATTATACTTTCCCACCGACGCAGCACCACAGTTTCTTTAGAAACTTACCCCCTTTATTCATACTGTCCTTTGCCTATTTGAAGGCAGGAGTCGGGTTTCACGGACTGACTAAGTTTGTTTGCAGCTTGGAGGAACAAACCTGTAAAAAAGTGGCTCGACAAAACAGTGTGAAAAGAAGAGAAGATAAAATAATAGACTTGGAAAAAAGAAGAACGAAGTAAGTTGAAACGGTGCGGCCGAGAGGAGCGTCTGTCTACGAACACCATCTCATTTTGGTGTTAGAGCTTTTCTTAATTCGCTCTTTGAGTCTTTGGCGTGCTTTGAACTATTTATTACCTTCACTTTCAATAGTAACTTTTCATAAAAATGTGCTTCCTTTAAGGTGTAATGTGCACAATGGTTGAAAAGAGAAATATAATCGTTTTCTCGCGATGTGGTTACTTCGAATGTGGGTCGCGACGTTTTGACTGCGTACTGTTAGTCCTATGCATATTGCTAGTCTTCTCCAGTTCTATGTTCCTCGCCTGAAGAAGACTAGCAGTATGCTGTCGAAGCGTCGCGATCCACATCCAAAGTGACCACATCGTGAGAAAAACGATTATTTTTCTCCTTTTAAGTGTTAGTTACCACGAAGAATAACCACAACCTATTTTACGACATACACAATGGTTGACCTCTAAACTTCAATAATTGCATACGTAGTTACCCTGCCAATTGAAATCACGATTATATTAACAGTACCAATTTGGTATCAGTCGTATTGTAGATATTACGCTAACCTTAACAGTCCTGATCAGTAACTAATAATACTAATAATCACTCTAACCTTTGGTAACTATGATGTATTTTTATTGATTATCCTGTCTGCAATCGGTGGCAGAATAAGTGAAATAATTTTTGCATTATAAGATCGTTCCCCCTCTCCTCCTATTAATTTATTTAGCCAACCTGTACCTAGTCCTAACTTAAATGAATAGCTCAGATTTGGGAAGAGGGGGAATGTGTGTTATTTGTTGCCTGTTGCCCGTTCTTATTTGTTTTCAACACCGCAAGGTCTACAGACAGAACTCCATCTTTTGTATCTTTTCCACTGAAATCCCCAAAGTAGAAAGAAAGTGTGAAAGAAAGACCTACCCAGTCCCAAACATAAGAAACCTCTTCGAATACTTTTCATCCTGATGACGTACCCCTTACGAAAGCATGGTAAAGTGTGGTCTTTACAATAGAAGATGTGGCCGTGACGCAGCAAATGAACAAATTGTGGGGTATGCCATCAACTGTTTGCAAAGATATAATACTTTGTTTTTCGTTGACAAACAGGCTTGAAGAGTACGTTGAAGAAAGAGAAGGAAAAATCCACGACCTGCAGTCAAAGTACGTTTTTTTTTTTTGTTATAGTGGAGGTTGCTCTTCTAATTTTGTGGAATTTCATCTTGGAAAATGTCAATTTAAGGATAAAGGGAACGCGGAGGTTAATTTTGCCGTTCATGTTTGTAGTAAATGTGATTCTTTAGTTTATGTTTATTTAAATTTTTGAGAGGAAAAATGTGTCTAAAAGTTTCAGACAAAATATTTAAAACTTGAAGTCTTCCTTATGGGTATTTTATCTCCATGCCCTTCCCAATGAGTTTTGGTTAAGTTGTTCAAGCTGATGAGAAGGAGGATTTTTTCTTTCAAACAAAGTAGATGTCATTTAGTGACATATATTTTTTAATTTGTTTTCGTCGTTATGCAGACTGGAAGGTACTGTGAACAGATACAGAAAGCTGGACATGACAGTTGGCGAGAAGGAGATGGTCATAGCCGAGTTACAGGCAAAGTATGTGGGCGAATGTTGGAGAAAGTTTTTTTTTCAGTGTTTGACGCGTGCGTAATGTGGGTTAACATTGGATTGCTTTACCCCGCTCGGTCGTCAGTGAATGGTCTAGAAACTTGCGCCATCTTCTCAATCACTCATATGCAACTAAAAGACCATTTGCGGTTAAGGCACTTTCGTTTTTCTGCGCCTCAGGTCGTTTTCGTATTTGCTCTTCGATTTCTTGTTATTTTTCCGAGAATGCGTTGTGACTACGTAGGTTTTGCTTTTACGTCAGTGTGTCCCAACACACTTGAAAGTTAGTGTAGCACGTCGTTGCGCATGAGTTGAATTTGAAAAGCAAATCGAAACGACAACTGAAAATAGCTACCATATATATTATTTCGTCGTAGTTTTGTTAGATATGAGAGAACGGCAGATAGTAAATGAGGTTGTTTTCGAGTATTTCTCCCACGAGGCAAAGTGGAATAGTTCTTGAACAAAATTTTTCGTTATTTGTTAATAGGCTTATCGAAGCACAGGAGACCACCCGTGAGATCCGAAAGCTGAACCAAATTATGAAGACGAAAGATGCCCGGATAGAAAACTTGGAGACAAAGTAAGTTAATGGCCTTAATTAAACGTTTAGTTTTATGATTTATCACCGTTTTGCACTCTTATTAGAAAATAACCTAACCGCGCAGACTAGCTTGTTCATAAAATTCCATCTTTGTATTTTTCGCTTTATCAGCGCTTTTTTTTCGTTCGGTATGTTCACCGGGAGGAAAAGTAGAGGGTAAGATTTCACAGGTGCCTTCCCGCAACTATTTGTTTGCAAATAGTAAAACATGTTAGCATTTCTGCCTTTATCACCTAAATTCCCATTCGTTTCTTACCTGGTTCACACTATGGACAGTGCAAACGCCAAAAGCGGTTATATACCGATAAAAAGTGCCAACTAACATGAGCATTAATTTATGATATAGGGAGAACTAGTGAAGACTTTAGTAGTGACCGGGAGCGTTTAGTTAGCGTTGACCTCTTCATTTTCTTTCTTTTTCCTCAGAGTTGAAAGTGCAGAAAGCGAACTCGCCAGTCATGAAAGTGAGATACGAGCTAAAGACGAAAAAATTGAGACTCTTCAGAAAAGGTAATTTTTTTTAAGAAAATTATTTTAATCATGGCGAGTCTTCTTAGCTGGGGCGCTGTTTGCTTTGTTCTTTATCAGATTTATTGTTGGTGAAAGAGCTATGTTGAGGTTCTTTGAAGCGCTCTGCTCAAAATGAAAGGATTGTTTGAAATGATAATTGTCCGGGGTAAATTCACACTTAAAGGAAAAGGATAAAAGGAAGGCGTAGCATTGAGAACATTAACAGAAACTGTAGATGACAAACTTGAGAAATTTAAACTTTCCCTTCCATTCAAAATCAAAAGTTCAAATTCATATTCAAGCAGAAAGGAAACGTGAGGGAAAAAATATCAATCACGGGATTTAGCTGGATTAAACACCAAATTCTCAAAACTATAACTATAAGAAATGTATAGTGAACAATGAGAACAACTGAGTTTGGGAGTAAAAAGGTGAGTGGAAATTTGTGTTGTGTTCAAAAGATGAGGTACTTCGTTCTCTGTCAAGAACATGTTGGACATGCTAGGGATAATTTGGAGGATACTTAGTTGAACCATTGCGATTTCCTTTCAGGCTAGACGAGACGCTTAACCTTAATGGCAAACTGGATCAGTCTGTGCGAAAGAAAGAGGAAAATATTCGCACACTGGAGAAAACTTTACAGGCAAACGAGACGAGGTAGGAAATGGTAGTTGTCTCAGATTCCTGTGCAGTGTAAGGAGGAAGTGAAATGTGCAAGTTATATGTGCATCTGTCCCCAGACGGTCTGGGAACGACCAGCTTTTCTCATGTAATTGAATGCTTAAAAGATTACATTGAATGCATTGGCTGTGCTTTTGGGCACTAGGTGTTTGTTTTGGTAAGCGTCTGCCTCCATTTCCCTCGATCAGGTGAAAAACTAAAACCGTTCGTGACTGGGTATTTCGCGTTTTCCCGCCCTTAGAGCACTTTACTTGTTTTTGCTTTGTGTTTTCGTTGGTTCCAAGTCAAGTTTCTGTTATTCTGCTTTGTCTTAATTATAACTTTGGGTTCGAAATTACAATACTCTGTCGCCATTGGCGCTAACAAGGCGATAATGCATGCCGCCAGTTGCTATGAGTTCGAAAGATGACTTAAGCTATAAGAGTAGCTAGTCAAATGCTGCTTTTTTCCATATAGTAGTAACGCGAACCCATTCCATGTGTCAGACGTTGGTATATCGCGATTTAATTTGTATTTCAGGGAAGAGGAGTTGGAAAAATTACTCGAAACAAAGGCTGGCAAAGTGTTAGAATACAAAAACAGGTGAAAACTTTTTCCTTGTCTAGTTTGGGAGAGTAACCGAGATGGCACGTATGTTCATCGGGTCAAAGCATGTCAATCTATTCTTCGAATGGAAACAAAGGGAAGGAAAGTGAAGGAAAAGAAAGAAACCTCTCTACTTAATAAGTAGATTCTCTGTTGCCCTGCGTCTGTTTTGTTACAAAGACGTCAAAATGTGGAGGGAAATAAAAAGGGGCACATAAGGCGCAGGAGAGTGTGTCACTGATATGTTTTTTTTTTTTTCAATTTTGTTTCTTCAGAGTCAAAGAATTAGAGTCTGACGTAGAAAATAAAGATGACAAGCTTTCAGAGTTACAAAAACGGTAATTCTAATTAATTGAAATCAACTCGTTCGGGGTTAAGACACGTTTGTAAAAATTTTCCACCAACTGAAACTTTCTAACTAAGCTGTTTCTTCTCATTTTCAGACTGGAGAACTTGAGATATGCAGCTACAGCGGACGGCAAGCTCAGTGTGGCGCTGAAGGAAAAGGATAGCAAGATTGCTGAATTGGAAGAAAGGTGCTCGAAAGAAATTCTTATCAGTTGAAAGATTCTTTTTGCAGCCTCACTTCCACCGAAACAAAACATACCTAATGTTTTCCTCTTTTTTTGTTCTCTACCTGTCAGGGTAAAAGAACTGGCAAGCACATTCGGCCAGCTAGACAAGGTGGAAAAAGCCAAAAAAGATTTGGAGAACGATGTTATGAGCCTTGAAACAAAGTATGCTATGTCATCTAATTCGCATTGTAAAATTTTGAAAAAAAAAAAAAAAGAAAAAGAAAAATTTAACCAAGTACTCTGGTTGTTATTTGCTTGAAATGAAGCGAATCTGTCAAGATTGATATTTCCTTATTTTGTTGTTGTTTTTTGTCAGTGTAAGCATTAGCAATTTTGCGACTGAACAATATGTTTAATAAGTTTGACATTTACAGTCCTGTTTATCTTGGCGTCAGAGCTGGTTTTTCAAAAAGTTGATTAACACTTACCGGCGGCTTACGTTAACTACTGGGCTACCGGTTACAGTGGCAATAAATCGAATTAGGTTTGGTTGCTCGTTATCCGCTTTGATGTGATCATTTGCAACTCGTTTCTCGAATTTCCGATTCTTTAAATGTCCGCTATGTCATGGAGTATCTTCTTGACAGGTATTCTATTCGTCTTTTTCTAGACTGGAGGAGAGCGAAAGCCAGAACAGAAAATTAAACCACAGTCTTAAACAGAAGGAAACAAAAGTCGAAGGTCTAGAGAAACGGTAATAGGCTGCCTTTGTAAGTTCATAGAAACCGCAAGCCTTACTTAAAATGTTAGCGGGATGTACATGAATACCTGTAGTCCATACTTTCACAACTCCTGGGTCGTGAGAACTCTTTTAGTAATTGGAGAGATCACGCCAGTTCTGCTGGAATGGGGTCTTGTTTAGGGGACCGTGCTTTTAACACATTTCAGTTGAGTGGCGTAAAACCAACACCAAAGCTACCAAACGGGCCTCTCAGGAGAGACGAAAATGTCTGTAAGAACTCGATGGATCTCTTTTTCCTCTGATTGGTTGAGGGTAACACGAGTTTTTGTAGACAGAGCGAAATTGACCCAGGTTTCGACACGAGATTTAATTTTACTCGGGAGTTTTCCACTCGCGATTGTATCTGGTCAGTGCCTTAACCTGCGGTGAGTTGGTATCCATCCAAAGGTGGAAGACAGTTCATACTACAGTAACCATTATGGGCTGCGGCAGACTTACGAGTAATTTCACATGCAGACATATACCGTTTACTCTTAACCCGATCATGAATGTGTTTACCACAGGGTAGCGGAATTGGAGGTCAGTCGGGATGATAACAGCCACTCACTGAGCATGGCTCTGAAGCAGAAGGACACCAAGATTGGACTCTTAACGCAGAATATACAGCAACAGGAGAGCGAGAACATGGCCTTGGAAGCTAAGTAAGTTCATTTTGAATGACAAACCATTTGCACAAACCAACTGGTGGGAAATTAGGATGGAATTTGGAAAGGAAGGAGAAGGTCCAAAACTAACTTGCAAATGGTTTGAATTTTCCACGCCCCTCAGCTCCTACACCCTCTCTAAAAGTCGTTTCTGTCCTACAGATTAGAAGAAGTCACTGCTCAGGCAAATAAGTTCTCCAGGTTAATCGAGCAAAGAGAGGAGCAGGTTAAAGGACTGAAAACGAGGCTTGAAGAAGCTGTCCATCAGAATAACAAGCTGACTCACGCTGCTGAGCTAAAGGATGACAAAATACAATCACTGGAGAAAAGGTGCGTGGGTGACAAAAAAATGTCTACATTGGAGATCCTAAGAGGGGAATTCCTAAAAGATACTCACGCAGGCGTTCATCAACAATTTGGAATATTTTAAAAGTCCGTACAAGTAGTTTTTAAGAATGAGTTGGCTAGTAACTGGCCGGTGCAGTTAGGAGCTGAGGTCATTTCCTGGTATTCTTTTGCAGGACGCCTCTCTATCGGTGTCTTTATCTTACGTTTTCTTTCTGTAATTTACCTCGCCACAAAAAGATGAAAATAGAAAAATAACACTTCCAATTCAAATGTGATCGTAATGCACGTACATTTTGAAGCAAGCTCTCGAGAGTTACCTAGGTGTTTCTTACGGAAAGAAATAAAATTTTTAAAGCTTTTCTTTCTCTTGTACTTTTTCCTTTCAGACTTGGAGCCTCTTCCAAAGAGCAGCTTCGACTAACAGAGGTAAGAAAAAAAATCATTACAGCATCATAAGATTACTAACATTGATGCAAGGTCATGAAGATTTATGTTAATAACCAACCACAAGTCTACCATTGTGTGGAATAGAGTCTAACTTACCTCTGTCCCTCTCAGGAGAGGGGAAAATGTGAAATTTAAAATTTCCCTTTGTATGGAATTCTTGTCATTTGTAGATTGTCGAATCGTATGACAAGAGAGCTGAAAAGGATAGAGCTCAAAAAGGAAAGGGTGGATCCTCACAGACCATCATCTTCAAACCGGCGGACTCTACAAGGTAGGTGTTGCATTATTATCGATGCATGAAATCCAGCAAAGCGGTATGTTGTTGTTTGAGGTAGATTTAAAATGAAGCTCACCTGTCTTGGGGCTGTGATAAACCTCGTCGATCTAGATCCCGCATTCACCTATCATCTCAGTAAAGTATTCTGTAAGGAGGCGCTTCTTGTGTTTGAGAAGGATAAATTTTTCTACCTGAAAATCGTTTGCCTTCCACTAGATTTCTCCATGTACCGATCTGTTTATGCTCTCATCCAATTTTAAATTGTATACCGTTTGTTAGGAACGGGAATGATCTTACTCTGATCACTTTGCTATGTATTAATATTTCATCTCTTTTTATTGCTTTTGTTTAAGGTCGGGGCAGAACACTGTAGAGTTATTGGCCATCGCGGACAAAAGGATAGCAGATCTCAACGAGGAAATAAGAATTTTGGAAAAACAGGTGAAACGCGCAAACCTTGGAAGTAGCTATTTATATAAAGTCACAGAGGAGTACTCTTACTAGAGTTTTATTATAGGGGATAGGATAGGTTATCTTTTTAAAGGAACACAATTAATTTGACTGATTCTTAGACGTCCCGAGTTTTCGTCGCTTGATTTAACTTCTGTGGGCTCTTTTTTAGTTGGCGTGTGATGGTAAATCTCTCTTAGGGCAGGATACACTCACCCCATTTGTGCTTGCTTTCTGTTAGGTGTGCACTCGATAGGGCTGGGTCTTCTGTGGATCTTGAAAACATAATTAACTCAAAGAATAGCCAGTGAATTATGTCCTGAAGTTGTGTTTTTTATAGCTATGAAAATCAGTGCATTCGACTTCAGTTGCTACTTAACAATTTCCCGTCGATAGAAAAGATGATGTTCATCTGATCTCTCTTCCAGAGCGCCAAGGTGACGGCTCAAAGCGAAGGAATGTCATCGAGAAATGCTCAGCTGGAGATTGAGAACGAATCGCTAAGGAATGACTTACAAAACGCTCGAGCGGATTATACGGCTCTGCAGGTGGACATGAATGAATTCAGAGATTATTATCACCAGCTGGACATCGAAGCTTCAAAGATGGGACACAGATGCGAGGTGGGTAACTAGTGTTACTTATTTTGTTAGTCCCCTCTTCCACTCCACTGGCAGGGCTTAGAGAGGAACGTATACAGAATTTACAGGGATAGGACGCGAAGGGCCTCACATAGGAGAAGTCTGTCATTTCTTCAGGGAAATGGAATACGGAGGGGCTTTTACAGGAAAGATATATGGTACATTACTTGATAGTTTCTTCAAGAACGAGGAGTGGGGGCACGGGCAATCACAAGGGTATAAGATATTTCCTTTCTTTTTTGTTTTCATTGTTAGCTTTCTTTTTCTGTGATAAACCGGGACTAGAGAGGATCGCGCAAGGGTAGTATGTCGTGTTCACTCTTTTCAAGTCTCGTCTTGGAGGCTTGAAATAATGATAAGCGATTGTGAATCTCCTTATCTAGAGTCGATGGATTTTTGAAATAAAGGACAAGTTTATTTATTTATTTGTTTATTTATTTACTTTTTGTTGTAAACAGATGCTGGGTCAGCTGAATGCCACCCTAGAGGAGGAAAACAAAGCGCTGGTGGAGCAAGTGAACAAACTCGTGGAACAGGTCAATATATGATTTTAAAATCTCAGTGGGTTTTCTCCTCGGAAAAGTGTTGCACCCCAGTGCCTCTTTCCACTCTCAGAACTAACTGCAGAGATAGGGGTGGCTATAGTAAGGAGAATTAATGTAAGTCCTGATGATCCTATTTGCTTTCCATTAGAATCAAGATCTTCTGGTGAAGTCGTTGGAAGACAAAGATCAGTTCATGGACGGCGAGAGAGCGTTCTCGTAAGTACGCAATGACTATTCAGCCTTTTGTTGACATAGAGAAGTTAGAAAATAGTACGTCTTCGTCTTCTTGGTTATGTCCTATTGTTTAGTGGTTCTGCCTGAAAGTTTTCTTGTTAATTGATTCTTTTGTTTGACAGAGATCGTATCTACGCTCTGCAGCGTCAGAAAGAACGACTCGAGGAACAAGTTGACTTGGCAAACAAAGCGCTGGCAGAAAGCGCGGCCAAACCTAAAAAGTAAGATAAAGATAATTTATTGATATCCCAGTTTCATATTCATGATTTCGTAGCAATTAAATCATGTTTTGTTGTTCTGCGTGCTGCTTTCATACCTATTTAGGATTAAGATCCCTTCCCTCCACTAATCACTTTGTTAAAGGCCCAGGTTAGCCTTAAGCATTAACTTCATTGCTTGTTTTCCAGAAAACCTAACTTCCTTGCGAGAGTGATGATGAAGGCTGGATTAAAAAAGGCAAGAAACAACCCGATTAATTTGCAAAACAATTGCCTTTTTTGAGCATTCTGTTGACTTTCGACTTACCAAGGCGATTTTGGTTTATCTTGCTTTTCCTTTTCAGAAGAAAGATGAAATTTCCCAGAAGAAACGGAACAGCGTTCAGCTTCTTCGCATCGATAACAGTTCATACCTTGAAGAGTTTGACACAAGCACGTCGATCGCCACTCCTGTCAGCAGACGGGACGAAACGGGCAGCGAAGGCTCACGGGAAAGCTCTGCTTCCGGGGATTCGAAAGCAGCAACCAAGAGTTTGTTGAATTCCAGCTTAATTAGTGCCCAGTCCGATGTTGTCCTTAGGCGGCAGAAAGATGGACTCTTGTCCCCTTACATCAGCACGCCTGTGTTACCTCGAGCGGAAGAACCAGACAGTGTACGTCTTCGTTCCGCTACCCACGACGTGTCTGCTTTTCGTGCGCGTCACGTTCGTTCCGAGGTATTCAATGACAGCGACTGGTCACCTGGAAGGCTTGGTCGCCCACGAAGCATGGACGCTTTGGACAAGCTGCCGAGTAGCTCGTCGACTCTGACACCCAATGATGTTGATTCCGGGGATGGACTTCCAGACGGTGATGGAGCTGGATCTTCAGGAAAACTACTGAAGCAGCCAGGAATGAAGCACCTGAAACCGACTGCATCTCCATCAGGGATGAGGAAGCATTACTGGACTCGCAGTAGCCCTAACATATCTCCAGTTGCTCCTCGAAAGGAGTATCCAGTCTCTCTTGAACCTTTGCCACCCTCACCACCTTCTACTTCCGTGCAGAGAACGTCAAGTCCTCACTCCTCTCCTATTCTGGCCCGAAAGTTGGAAGAGAAGCCGTCTCCTCGGACTCCTCAGCGTAGCCCAATCATGGGGAGGAAAGAAAATGGCGCTTTGTCTCCTTCTCAAAGAGATGCGCGACGGGCGAGCATGCCCATTACGCAGTACACTCAAAATCTTGACACTATACCAGTTCGAGAACGAGCTGTAGAACCGACCAAAAGTAAAATATCTGTGCAAGTGATAGCTGCCGCGAACACGCCTAATGGTTCGTCTCCGTCACTTACTAATAAATCCGTCTCATCACCTTTCCAAGAGGATCAGGCGAGGAGAGTTACAGTAGAAAGGAAAGAAAACAGTCCTCAGGCACGAGAAGGGGCACTGGTTTTTAATGGTGGTATAACAAGTCCTTACCAAGAGAGGGAGCGCAATTTTGGCGGTGACAAACGCGAGGAACCCACTACATCCACGCCTCGTGGATTTCAGCGGCAAGAGAGCTTAAGAGGCGATAAGAACATTAAGAAGGGTATGGAACCCTCCAGGAACTATAGCACATTGCCATCTCGTTCTAAACAAACGCGAGAAAGGAGTGCCAATGGAGAACAGAATGGTGGTAAACTAATTGAATCCCCAAGGAACTACAATGCTGTTCCCTCCCATGTTCAGCACGTTAGAGAAAAGAGCTCAGATGGAGACACGAGTGATGGCCCAAAGGTAATTTATGTGAATGACTCACCTAATCGTGACACAAGTCAAACAAGTTCAGCTCATTCAAGAGAAAGGAGCCTTAGTGGTGACAGAAATGAAGGACTCAGGGCATCAAAGCGGCAAGGCACTATATTTGCAGCTTCAACCGCTCCACCCCTGCAAAGTGTCCCAGTCACAGCGCATTATGTTACAAGTGGAACTATACCTAAGAGCGAGGCATCACCCAGCGCGGCAGTGAGTACTGCTGGGGCTGGAACTTCAGTTTACGTAGACGCATCCGGGGTTGATTTGAGTTCAACTCCGGTGGTTTCTCGTGGGAACCGTGCGGAAGTCACTTCGTCATCGGTATTCGCCATTGTGCGGAATAAACGCGGGGATGAACGTGTACTACCCTTGTCAAACAACAAATTGCCTTCACGCGACTCGATTACACCATCTCGCGATCACACCACTCCGTCACGAGCCAGCGCCACGCATGACTCTCGGTTGCTGTTGAATAGCAATACTGCTGTATTGAGAAATACGGTTAGTGCTGATACCAATATGCCGTCACGGTATGGTACAGCGCCCTCGCCGCCTAATGTCGTCCCCTCTAATCCTGTGGAATTGAAGCCATCTGCGAACGAACAAAGAGACGAGAACAGGAACGACACTAAGGTAATCGTTTCTTCGGGAACAATTCAAGAAACCACTAAACAAAACGTTTCCAGCGAGCGAGCGCGGCTTCTTGAAATTGAACATACATCTCCAGCCGACAACGGAAGTATAGCATCAACGTACGTGCAGCCCTCTTCCCAGACCCTAGCTGAAGACAATGACGACGATGCTAGGTCTGTTTCGTCGCATCGCAGCCGCGATTGCTCACCGGCATTGAAAAAGGTGCGCAAGGCAAGGAAAGCAGCAAAGGAAAAAGAAATATTCATGGATTCTCCTCCTGCTCTGCCAGATGATTCGTCGATGGCGTCAGGTCGAAGATCAGGCGCGGAGGAGAGGGCGCGGACGAGATCTGTCGGGTCAAACCCAGGAGATGGTAAGAAATCCTCGGTTTGGTACGAGTATGGGTGTGTGTGATGGCTGATTAGTTCAAGATGTAATGAAGTAGTTATTTATTGATGTTAAGAGTGATAGCTAATTGCAAACAATGAAACCTATCAGCTGTACATTTACAGGAAGTCTAGTCGCTTATGGGAAACAGTCGCTTGCAACACGTCGTGCAGGAGAATTGATAACTCGATCAAGTTTGAGCTGGCTCTTGCCTTGTTTTTGTTGAGTATGAAAAAGGAAAAGATTACGTTTTTAAAACTTTATACAATAGGGATACAAAGGGGGCTAGCCATCCAGAGTCTAGCACACTGTATCTACGCGAGTTCTCGCAGGCTCTCGAAGAAATCGTGTATATAATGTGAATATCGACCGTAATCTACTCCCCAGATCTTTTCTTACTTTCACAGAGTGAGAAGATATGGGTACTAGTTTGCTTTTGCCCTTTGTACAGTTTTGGAAGAGTTAGTAAAGTTGTCTTCCCTTCTATTAAAATGTATTTATGACTAATTTTTTCAGTGTACGTGAATAATCTTTTATGATTGCCAAATGTCAAGTACCGTAGTCTATTTTTGATGATGAACGTAAGTGAGAATGGAAATCATTAGTACGCTTTCCACACCATCGAGTTACAAGAAAGAAAAAGTAGATTTGGATTAATTAGTTTGAAAATGTTCATACTGTTTTATTTATATAGGTATTTAATAGCATCGCTGTCCACTAAATAATTTATTAAATGAACGTTTCTTCAGATGATGAATTTCTAACCTTTTAATAACTGATCACGTTTGTAATTCTACTAATAAAGGTTTGGAATCACATCATTTTTGTTTCACTCTCTCATTGTACCAAACAACAGACATTTTCTTGGACCAAATCGCTCTAACGAAGGGCTAACGTTCGAAACGTCACTTTTCAAACTCTTTACGGTGGCAAATTTACGTTATCAACTCAGTTAATAACACTAAATTACCATGTTTTTACTCCCACCGATGCAGCACCACAGTTTCTTTACAAACTTAACCCCTTTATTCATATACTTGGACCGTCAAGGTGGATGTTATAGCTCAGAGGTTTCAATAAAAGTCGGTTACCGGCAGTCTACCGTCGCCAATAAGACCCTTCACAGCCGTCTGTTAAGCCCACGAGTTGGCTCTCTTGATTGGATTTCGTCTTACCGGTGGTAGACAAAACACTGACCCCCAGTCCATGGACTACCTAAATGGGCCTATCTTGCTAGCCGCAACACCTACAACGAAAAACGCAGATATTTGCCACGCTCATGAGAGATCGTTCATAGTCAGCCATCTCTATATTCCATAGTACATGTAGTTTTACAGCTGCAAGATGATCGAATGTGTTTCAACGCGCGGCATGTTGTTTAACCAGGCACGTTGCTAATACTCTAGAGAAGGGTTATTGTGTTTACAAGCGTTAATGAATTGAACCTCGAAGTAGAAGCAATAAGCTATATCATGGAAGTGGACACAAGTATTAAGGAAAATAAAGTACTGAAATTAAGTAGACCCGCGGAAATGATTTGTTTCCACTCCCCGTGCTGACTCGACGTTAATGTTCGAGTTTTGAGCAAGAAATACTCTGTGTAAATTACGAGGGCATGTGCAATAAAGGTGTATATAGATTGCAGTGCTCTCATAGAACCTATCCGTGTACTGGGGTCAGTGTTTTGTCCATCACCTCGTCTTACAGCACAGCCGTTAAATACACCACCGGCAATAGCCTATGGAAAAAGTCATTGAAACCCTTGCTGTAGCCACGTAATCACTTCATTTTATTTTGCCACACAAACATTACCAAAGATGAAATTTAAAATAAATTAAAGAATCTTCTTAACCATTCTGAGATGTTTTTGTTGATGACCACTGGAGTGAAACTTTAAAATATTAGTTTGCAAAGAAAGACAAACACGATGGGGTTAACATTAACCAAATGGGAACCAATTGGTTCTTTGTCGTTTTATGTCAACTTTGTCTTCTAAACCAAGTAAGAACCCCAACCTCCTGAAGTCATTTTGTGTACAATACGTCCCCTTCTACCTCTGAAAGATATCAAAGAAAGATCTTTACCAGCAGCTAAGCCAAAAAGTCATGAGTTTCCCACCTTTTTCAATAACATTCACTACCAAAATTAGAGAAATATGTGGTTGAGAACTTTAATTAATTGTCCTTTTAACTGCTAAGATCTGATTGTTAATTCTCCCCTCTAGCTGCTACACATTTCCACATAAATCAGTTATGAGAATTTGGTGTTAGATCAAGACAACAACTTGTACCTGATAAGTTTGAGAATTCTCATTATCTCTTTGCTGGATAAGGAATGGATATTTTAGGGAGAAGTTACATGTGAATCACTCATAGGAGTTAAAGGTTTAAAATGTTTCATGTGGGCAGCTTTGTATTAAGAAACCCACTGATGGGTCAAACCTGTGAATATTGCAAAGTGGGTTGTTCAATGAGAAGGGAGAAATATGTGTCTTATTTCCATTTCCTCATTGACAAATATTTGCCACTCAGTTTGAAGTGCACAGCAAAATTTTCAAATCTTAAAACTTCGATTAAAAAATGCTTGCCTATGATTCTTTTATTCTTATTTGTTGCCTGAAATCACCAAATGATGAGGCCTCCCTCCCTTCCAAAAAACCAAACGAAACAAAGTCAGTTTTGTTTCGAAGAAGAAAAACATGCAGCGATAATTGTCTGCATGGAATTCATAAAACATTAAAGCAAATTTAGTTCTTGAAAATGAATCTTCAGATGTCTTTAATCCAGTCAAGAATCTGGTGGCATGTTTTTTCCTAAAATGATAAAGAATCATGGGTCAGTTCATGAGCACAGTGAAGCTATTTTTCTTACTTTTCAGACTTCTTTGCCACGAGAGAAGTCCCCCTCCCCAAAATAATTACATCAAAGCAGGAATTTTCATGCAAATGAGTTGTTTGATGTTGACATTTTGATTAAAATTAAAATAACAAATACTGTGAAAAAAGAAATCATCTGAGAAAAAAACTGATGATGAAAAATAGCCAATGGGAAAGCACTGCTTTCATCAAGCACAAATGTTGTATTTTGCAAGCACTGATCCAATACAGTGAAAGTTCTTACTTGTTCAGTGTTGTTCACAAGGAATTGCCCAACTTGGAAGACTTCTCTTTTGCCAATACCATGCCGTAGATACCGTGAGTGAATTGGACAGCTATTCAGGACATATAAGGCAGCAGAAAGACCCAATGCAGCTGTCTGCATGGAGTTGGCAACCATAACATGACTATAAACTGAACTGCAATTGCCATTTGGTGATGTCTCCTGTCTGTTGGTGGTGATTTTCACTGACACAATTCCATTTTGAAAGCTATAAACTAAAAGATTAAAACTTTACATTCAAGTTATACAAACAGGGAGGGTATATATCAGGGGCAAGACAAAATAATCGTCTATTAGGCACAATTAAAAAGCAGGTGTCAGATCTTATATGTAGATGTGGGTCTGGAGATGCAATCATTGAATTGAAACTCAATATCCCATTTGAAATAGGAAAGGGGGGGGATTAGTGGTCTTTAGAGCCCTTCCAGCCCTCCAACCACTCACTAGCAGGTGTTTTGCCATAGACCACTAGTGAGTGGTCTCAATTTCATAATGCAAAGAACAAAAACCCAAAAATTCGTCTTTTGCCATGCACCAAAGCAAATTAATATAAACAAGTACATTATTATTTTAATAATAATATTATAAACATTTCAATTGCTAAAACAGACTATTGTGGAGAATGAGCATATACATGGGAGTTTTCATTTTGTTTCAATTTTCAATTAAACATTAACATACCTTCCTGAAATAATTTGTCCACCAAACCAACTTGAATGGTCCTTTCAGATCCACTATTGCTATTGCTAAACTCTGTTGTCATTTGTAAAGCTATCACTGTATCCAGTTTGTGATTTACATTCCCAGTAAAAAGGCTGTCCTTCAAGTTCTTACTGTCCTCCAATGTAACAATGTGGACATCTTTTTCTGATATTCCTTGGGAAGCATTGGCTGTGACACAGTCATGAATCACTTGTGAATTGTGTTCTGTGATAATGGTGATCTTCTTCTTCACTGCCTGAAGTGCTTTGACCAAAGTGATAACTCCTTGGAGACCATCTGAAGTTGCCAATTCAGAGGAAGGTATTATTTCCTCATCAAGAATGCCTATAACAACAGATGGAGCATGGGACAATCTGGCAGAAATCTTCAGGAAATCAGAATCATAGACATCTCCTTCAAAACCACTCTGATGACCCAACAGTTTACTAAGCTTTTCCACTTTTTTAAATGCAGTTTCAGAGCAGACAGAAGCTAAAAATGGTTGATCTGCCAAAGTGATAAGTTTGGGTTGTTCATCGCCATGTTCAGGTTTATTGACTCTAAAGTATTCTTCCAAAGTGGTGTCACATATGAACATTGAGCCAGGCTGATGACTGAATGATAGTGGTAGTTCTGCAGAAATGAAAGGACAAGAAAAAAAGTCAAAATTACCTGGTCCTAGTTTCTGAATACAAAAGAAAAAAGGGGATAATTTTGTCCACCACTGTTAATTGCACATATACTAAATATATATACACTGTAATTAAGTGGCAATCAATCCCAGGATCTAAGAGCTAATTTTCCCAATTACCAGTTACATAATTATGCTAAAGTTACATGTCTGCCAAATATTTTGGAGCCATATTTTTCTTTGAAGATGGAAAGTTTTAATCTTGTTTCACTTACCAAGAAATTCTGTTAAAAACTGGCTAATCTTTACTTGCAAATTAAATCACATGAAATTGGATTAAAAATGGAAGCAGTTCACCATACATGCACATACTGCATCAAAATGTTGGTAAAGGACCCATTTTCTCAAATTGAATGTGACTCATAAATCCACTGTCTGGCAGCTGTATATTCCAATATAAATGCATGCAAGTTGAGAGAATTTGTTATTATATCAAGATACCTTACTCTAAGGTACAGTACCATTTTCTATCTCTTTGCTATAAGTTTTTAATAAGTCATTTCATCATTTTTTCTAGCTAATATATCACTTGAAGTGGACATGATAATTTCTTGTAGGTAAAGTAATAAAATCCTCTTAGCCTGACACCACTTACTTGCTGATCTTACTGCAACTGATGACGTTACACCACAAGCCCAGAACACAGGTATCATATCAGCAACATCAGAAGATTCCCCAAAGTTTGTCTTATCAATATCATCGATTCCTATCACTGATGGATCACCGATATGTATTGGGGCTCCATGCACTGCATCATAGGCAGCTGTGACAATAACTGTTTTTTCAACCAATTCTCTGGGAATTGGTCGCATTGAAACAACCATAGGGCAGTCAAATGGCCCAACAGGCAAACATGAAATGTTGGTTTTAAACATTGATACATTGCGCTTTTTTACAACATGCTGCAGTTCAATGCCAGCTTTCATCAATGCATCTTCAAAGGAAAAGCTGCATCCAAGGTAAAAGGACACATAGTCCTCCAGAGGATAACTGGTTAGGTTCCCCACTTTCTTAGTGACATTTCCATTCTCAGAGACCCAATACATTGGAAGATCAGTTCTGAAAGTTTTAGATAAGAAATTTAGAACTCATTATTGTAGAGATATGTGGAAATTATGACTTATACAACATTTTATCAAGGGTTAGGGACATTTCTTTTTTCCAGACTACTTTTTGTTGTCCAAGGATGTTCCCTAAATTAGGTTTCATGGTTTCTCTGTAATCAGTGACAGGTTAAGGAGCATACCTTCACCCTTTACACCCTAACATCAGTTTGCATAATCTCCGTACAGTTCTCTATACTTTCCTAAGGTGCTGACGAGAAGAATTTGTTATTAAACAATTGAAAGGCTCAGAGCAAGAACGATCCATTGATTTTTCGGCCATTTTTGAAAGTGTTCAGAAGTAGCTGAATTTTGGCATGTGGACACTTTCAAAAATGGCTGAAAAATCAAGGGATCGTTCTTGCTCTGAGCCCTCCAATTGAGAGCTTCTTTAGTTGGTAACCATTCCCATTATTCTCATGACCTTAATGTATGACTGGGGGATGATATTGTAAGGAGAAATTAGATGTTGGTCATATTCAGTTGCTTTTAATTGAAAGTTGAAACACAAATTAATTGATCTGACTATAGCTTTCAGTATCTTTGCCAGAACTAAATATTCTTAAATCTTAGACTCAGAAAAGCAGACATTGTGTTCATTGTATTTTCAGACTCACTTGAACAAGAATATATGGCAATTGTTAATAATAATAATAATAATAATAATAACTTTATTTAAGGAGGGTAACACACAACAGTAATTCAACTAATGAACTGGTGGCCCTTGATCCTAAAAGTACTGCAATTAGAATTAAAATGTATTCAAAGATTATAAAACTGGTCAACAGGTCTATAAGTTAGAATGCAAGCTAAAAACTGGATCAAATAAAATATGCTGCCTCCGTTGGGTTAAATTGCATTTGAACTGAAATGTTCTACTTCATTGTAGCTCATTAGAAAATGTCTGTGAAAGGCCTTTCTGAAAGAAGCAACTGTTTTTCACCTCTTTTTGTAGGTTAATGGGTAGTTAGTTCCGCAGCCTTGTTGCAGATATGCTAAAGGTCTCCCCCTCCCCAACACCCCCTCCCCCCCACATTTCATTCATTCTCGCTTAATAGGGTTCAATTTGAAACCTTCAAGATCAAACCTTCCATTCCAATGTCTTAAATGAACTGGCCTTGCTTCTCAGTAGTTATTAATAAACTAGTTCAGTTGTTTGGCCTTGTCACTCTAAAGATCCGTATTGCAACTCTCCTTACTGGCTGCAAAACATTTTTTCTGATGTTAGGGAGAATTTGGCGATGAATCATTAAATATCCCTGCTTGAAACTTTTCTCTATTTTCATTACCTACAGCATCTGCATCTTGACCCTTTCAACCCCCAAGAGTGACCAAAACTTAATTTCTTGTTATAGTATTGATCAATACAATATCAAGCTGCCAAGTGATGTGAATGAAAAAAAAATATTAATAAGGAAAATAGCATTTGATCCGACGACAAATTCTCGGAACAAACTTTATAGGAGAAGTATGACAGACAGTATGGAGAATTTTCATTGAGCTATTGGGAGTGAGAGAGTTATCTTCTCGAAAAATTGTATCTTGGTCATTCCTGGAGTGAAAGGGTAAACGATTTAGATGCTATTTACTTCAATTATAACAGCTGCTTAATGAAAGGTGACACTGACGATAATGAAAGTTGTAGGAGTAGTTTTTCCGGAGATAGCTCATTCTTCTTACATGGGTGCACATTCAAAAAGGGAACTATCAAGAGCCCCTAGCATTTCTTAAATTTGTCATACCTTACATCAGAATCCTGGGCGAGATTTCCAGCAGATAGTTCACCAGGTTTGCTTTTGTACAATAATGGACATGGAGCTTTGTTTAAATTGCAGAACTGTTCAAATTCATCGGCCAGTGAAGCTGGAAGGATCGCCAGATTTGTCTGAACATGTCGCATACAAAATCCCGACGTTGATTTCCCCTCATACTCTGGATTTGTACGAAATTGATGCCTAGCTTTTGATGCTGGCCAAGAAGCTACGTTCCCACTCTCTTCCAAAGCGGGCATTGTTCTTTGAAAAGTTCTTTTGCACAAAGAGTCGGTCGTTTAAAGTTACTAAAGATTGCGTGACCACGAGAGTGCGTCATATGCTAAGCATGTGACAGACATCCCTGGTTTCACGTGACGCTTTACGTAGTTTCACTGTTTAAGTCACGCCATCCTGAGTGCTGCACACACAAAAAAAACACCACGGCTCTTCTCGCAGGGACAAGATTTCAGCCCAAAGTTTTTTCTTTACAGATCTTTGGTACTTTGAAAAATTAAGAACATGGCGAGTAGAATAATGGCAGTAAAAGGCCTGAATACAGCCGCATCATTTCGAGGGCGATTATATGTCAATGTGATCGTGGTTCCATCGACAAACGCCGATCAATTCGAGAAGTTTTGTAAGTTAAACAAATCTTGTTGTCCTCTGCTTCAGCGCAGTGCACCTGGAGATACCACAACGAAGCCTCTAGTACGTGATTCAGACATCAGGTATGGACAAATGCTTTTCTAAAGCGAAAGTAATCATTCTCAACCAGTCTTCTGGAAGCCGTGCACCGGGAAATCCGAAGAAGCGAATGTAGAGAGGAAAATTGGCAGAAATTAATTTCTAGGTCCCTGAATCCAGATATATACCTTGTGAAGATGAGATGAACTAATTATCCCAAATTATGATTTATGAATGACCACAGTAACTGTACGTGTTACTGGCCTTTCCGTTCGTTTGATTCTATGCTTTCGCCCCATGCCCTCGCGCGGCTGGCTCCTTGGGTTGGAAAAAGGGGGGGGGGGGGGGTAGGGTTGGCAGATTAGGAATATTCTGAGAAAATCGAAGATGCCAAATACAGAACACTTTGTTCGAGAATCTGGAATCTAGAGTGATTTCTTTGCTCCTCTCATTGTTGTACCTAGCGCTGATTCGATTTGAAAATTATTTAATTTCAGAACATTGCTACCTTTCTACCATGTCCTGAAAAACGGCCATGAAGTCGAACGTGTTACCAATCTGACGCAATTTCCTTGGAACGACATGGTGGCATTTTACATCGCCTCGATAAGCCATCACATTGAGGAAGAACTCATTGCAACTGGAATTCTTGATGCAAGCGAAGAAAATATGAAAACCGTCCCTCATTATAAAACTAACATCATGTGTAAAGAGGCTGGAGCATTCGGCAGTCCACTGGTGGTTTGCATGTTTCCGATTCCTAAACGACTTTTGGAAAGGACTGTAGCAGTTACCTCACGTTTGGAGACTCTAATTGGAACAGTGGTACATATAGGTGATCCTTCCGTGATTGGGATAAAGGATATTACCAAACCATACCTCGGCAATGCATTTGACGTGGATATGGACGCCGTTGTTCCAGTATTCTGGCCTTCCAGCTTAACGGCTCATGCGGCTGTCAAACGCGCTGGTAAGTATTTTGAGCTGTTCAGTAAATCTACTTAATTTAATCCACAGGATAGACGCTCGAGATGTGAAAAGTTGCGATCTCGTCTGTTCAATGAAAGTTTTAGCTCAACCTTGATTGCGTACCCATGACGTAAATAAAAAAATTGATAAATAAATGAATGAATATAAAGGTAAATAGCCACATCGATATATAAAATTAGTGATAACAGTGGTACATCCACGATATACAACGACATACATTATTTACAACACATAAACTCTATTACAACGCACTACCTTCGATACATCACTCACGATACATTACTTACAATGAGCTGCTTACAGTGAAATCCTACCATTATTATGCCATTTACAATGCCAACATCAATCAAATACTACATCACCGACATTAGTAACATCTAAGGTTGAGCTCGGTAAAGAAATAGAGAAAGATGTTTTTTTCATCTGGTCCCGAGCGTGGGACAGAGAAAAAATTCTGAGTCCCCATGAGTCTGAGGTTCGATTCCTCATGGGGACTCAGAATTTTTTCTTTGTCCCACGCTCGTGATAAGACGAAAAAAACATCTTTCGCCATCTAGTTCATTACTTTGAATATGTTTCAAAAGTTGCAAAGCATACATCCGCTGGTTCATGGAATTCTTTTATTTTTCGAGGGAGGAGAATCGGAGAATACGATAAAAAAAAACCCACATTACAGGGACGTGAATCAACAGGAAACTACAAATTTGCGAACATAAAGCGCCCAGGGGCGAGCTAACCCTCGCACATGACACATGACACCAGGTTTGAGAATCGATCCTGGGTTACAGCGGTGGAAGACCAGCGCTCTCACCTCTGCTCGATTCCCTCTCCCCCAAAATGCCGATACAGGTGTAAGTTTAAGAAGGAAATAATTTTTTGGTAAGTTGATTTGCTTGTGGATATTGTTACAGTTCAAAGTTGGGTTGTACACAGACTTGGTGACCTCAACTGAATTCAGTGGTACAATTTATACAGGTTTCTCCTTATTCTTGGTTTAAGGTTGTTACAATCATTATTCATCAATTTTTTTTTTTTTTGGGGGGGGGGGGGTAGGTGAATGGTAGAATAGGTATCTGCTCCGTAGCTTCTACTCAGTGTATCATATCCTTGAACTTAAGCATTGAGTTGACAACCTTGACATTTTGTATCGCCTCAAGATGCTTCCGAACTGGCGTCGTTGTCCGAGCTGAAGATTTGAGCCTCGTCCGTAACGGACGAACTGTTTTCGTTGACGAGTAGGTTAGTCAGAAAATAGATTCGCTCTTTCAGCGTGTCCTCTTCAGTTTTAAATCCATAGTTGGATGCAATCTGTAAGGCATTTTCGGCTGTTTCTTTGGCCAATTGGTAGAAACCTTCTCGATAATACTGATCTGAACGATTCTTATAAAGATGCATGCGTGGCCCTATGGCGAGGGAATCACCCACTTCGTGCAAGATATAGTCCAGGTGATTTTGTGCATCTTTAATATCTTCCGTAGTGACATGAATGTTGTTTATCTCATTCCGGGCGTTAGTCGATGTGCAGTCAAGGCGGACAGCTGCGATACCTAGATGGCAGAATGTCAGCTTCTTCTCTCTAACTCTCAAACGGGTATCCTCCTGAGAATAAGCAATTGCGAGCTCGAAATCACGTATCGCATTTTCTCGGGCATGTTTCCGTACCTGTGCATGCCCTTCGTCGACCGGGATCGTGCACGTGAAAATCATCCAAAGTAATCCACGGTTGTAATATAACTCAGCCATGTCCTCTGGGGAATCGTGATGTTTCAAGTAGTCCTCGCTGCGTTCCAAATATTCAAACAGGGTTTGAATCTTCTTAATTTTCTTGTACATATGCATATTCAGTTCTATCAGAAGAAAATACGTTCTTGCTATTAAAATGTTCGAATTTTTCAGTTTACAGTTTTCGCCGAATGCACTAACTGAGGTTAGAAAGAGCTTGCTTTTCTTAAATTTTTTCTGGTACATAAAGGAAACTCCTTGTTCGATCACAAGAGATAATTCCAAATCAGCATATTCTTCTCCCCCAAAAAGTCGAGAGTACAAATGAAACAAAACATCTCTATCTTCAAGTTTTCTATCATTCTGCTGAAATTCAAGTTTTTTCAACAGTTGTTCACACTGTGTATCGCGTGTAACGTTGCTGCTTTTACGCTCCATGCGGTGTTTGAGCAAACATTTGACCAAACACTTGTGTTCTTGAAATCGTCCCTTATCCTGTAGAATTTCCAGTCGTTCCATGATTCGCTCGCATCGCGGTCCGTTAAGATATCCCCGTTTTTTAATCATGGGTAAAGATGGCGCTATACTTGAAGGCTTTATACTCAGGTATTGGTTTTCTGGGTCATCAAGTTGTTTCTCCTCATTCAACTGCATTTTACTGTGTTCTTCATTTTGCTTTGCTGAAATAATGTCTTCCATCTCTACTATACTACTAGGCACGTGGTTGGAACATACTGCGTTCTGTTCTTCTTCGTCTTCGCAAGTGTTGACATCGGTTTTCGCTGTTTTGGAACAATGTTCGCAGTAACTCTGCTTTCGCTTTTCAGTTGACTGGCTTACTATCGCCATCTCACAATCGGTAATGGCCAGCAGTAAGACGTTTCCCAGCGTGTCCCCTTGTGCTTCGGCAACGCCCTCATATGGGGAGTGCTGTCCTTGACTCACCCATGATGGATGGGTACCCTGAAAACTCGCTTGACGGACACTTTGATGAATTTTGCCTTGCTGCACTTCCAAAGAAGACTGCTGTGGTGTTATAGCTGAAGCATTTGGATGTTTGCTCGGCAACTGATACGAGCTTGGCGTATATGAAAGATGTTCACATTGATCAAATATTAGAGTCTTTGCAGTAGTTCCGGTTTCATTTGGTAGTTCTTCCATTTCGTTGTTAGGTAGATCTTTCAGGCGTTGTGCCATATCCTTGATTGATGGACTGACAGCGAATTTGCAAACTTGAATTGAAATCCCTTCAGATAGAGAGAAATAGAGAATAATAAATAGGCGCGCGTAGATATGGAATTTCTCTTCGATTGTTTAACTCGATAGCTCACTCGTGAGCTGTCAAGTTAAACATGAGTAGAAAACTTCCATATCTACAAGCAACCATGTATTATTTTGTTTATCATATAAACACAATAGCCCTTTACTGGGAAGAAAAGCCGAATTCATTAATGAATGAAAATAAACGAATCGACAATCCTCGAATAACAATCGTAGAGTGCGTTGGCGCTGACTCTTAAGATGGAAAAATACGTTGAATCATGATTACAAAAAAACAATGGTCGTAATTTTCAATTTACAAAATTCTCATTTATTGACTTTGTCCTTACCGAAAGATGAAGTCTTTCAGGTAAACGGCCAAAATCGGCCGGTGGCAAATTTTCCAGTTGTCGATTTTCATTCTCAGTCATGAGAAACGCTAACACCAAAGCCACTGAATACGCAACTTTCGGTTTTTCTTTTAGTATATTGGTTTTCTTTCAAGGAAAGTTTGAACCTCATTGTCTGTCAGCGATAAAGATTTTTTAGTGTTTAGCCACCATAATTTGAGAAAGCTCCGACAGACAACTTGTACTGAGAATTGTAAAGGCTTTGATGTTCATTCATCAACCTGACCGAGTGGCGCCAAAGGCGAGTGACGTGTAAGCAGCTGATTGGCTGTATCAACACACGTGAAAAAATACGATATTGATGTTACGGCTTTTCTCAGGGCCGGAAATCCTTAGCTTGTATAACACCGCAGTTTATGTGATAAAAGCTTTTCTCACTTTGTGCAGCTGGAAGTCAAGAAAATGAGGTTTACGGTTATGTTTAAGAGCAGTTTTCCGTTGAAGTAGCTATTCGCTGCTTTTTTTAAAAGTAGGAGACGATAATAAACACACCACCAGCCTCAGCCACGTTCTGGTCACTTGCAAAACGTAGACATTGATCCCATTCAATAAATTTACCTCCTCGGTACACATGGCCACATGATTACTAATCAGCCGATTACAATCGTCTTTAGAGCAGGGGAAACCGCGAATGTTTAATAAATCGTATCATTTTGGCCAACGAGCTCTGAAATATTTCGAAGTCTAAATGTGTCAAAAGAAATGCGAGGCGCATGAATATTTGCGGAGCATAGCTCGCTCTATGCTCTCGATGCAGATTTAAAAGGAAACACGTCCCGATATTTTCAAGCCGATTTTTGTCACGAAAAAAGCTAACTTCAAAGGCACAAGTAGGTCTTTTAAAAGATGGAAATGCACCAAATCGAATGGGGCATCAAATCCAGTTCTTCTTCTTTTTTAATACTCGATAAAGAGGTTTAAATACCTCTGTCACAATAGGGACGGTCATTCTCTTGCGACTCTTTCACAGCTCAGATCTTAAAGCATTGCTTTATAAAGAGTGATGTGCGAAGCGAACCTCGATCGGCATGCCATCTTTTGAACCGTACTTTCATGAAAACTCTTCTAAACTGAGTTCGCACGTTCGGAAGCGTCTGCGCAGACAAATGTTTGCTCAACAAATATACAAGACAACACATTGATCGTACGTAAAAAAGCAAATTAAAAAAGAAAAACTGTGATCGTACCTTCAAACGCGATTCTGGTGTTTTGTTAAGCCTTGAAGTAAAGTAATACTCGGTGAAATCTCGAAAACTCTGAACTTTCTCAGCGAGTCATATTTCATTTTTATGCAGCATCAACACGAGTCATTTGCATTTTGATATGGTTGAAGGGAAAGTTCCCGAAGTCTGAATTCTGGTAAAATTATCAACGCAGTTACGTAATGATATTTTAAAGTCATTTTTAGCGCCACAGAAAAACTAAGTTAACCTTTGAAATGATCGTTTGTAAAGGTAGACAAACACCAAAGGAATAAAAATAAACAAACATTTCACTCTCTTGCTTGTAAAAGAAAGCGTCTATTTTAAGTAATGTATTTGCTTACCGAAGCAAATTTTCATGTGATCTTGTTTTATAACTCACCTTC